GATTACGCTTACGATAGGCTTCTACTAGTCTGCTTTAATAAGTTAATGTGGCTGTTTCTAAACATTTTTTTCGCATCGTATCTACCGGGAGAGACTGGATTGACAGCTTCTGAATTGTGATGAGTCAACTTTCGCTTTATTGTAGCTATGACTTTTAGTACCTAGCGACATTTGTGGGCGCGGTGACACAACTCACTGTGTGTGACAGCGATCAAAATAATGATGCGTGCGAGTTGTACACCTGATTTACTATTGCGGTTAGATTAGTCATAAGACGCGCATTGGTCGTTAGTTCGTCATTACACAACCAACTACGATTGCGGTTTTCTATTGTAAACAGAGCATTAGGCCTGGCAATATAAGAGATTAGTCATTTGGTGTCACTCAGTATTTTATTTGCATATCGAATATGAATCATCAGAAAGGCCAACTTGACCGTTAGGGTTGGTGACGCCCCATATCAAGGTATTATTCTGAGAAATCACACCTCGCGTTGCTCTGTATCTGTTTTGTTTACTACTACGTTTCTGTTAAAGTAAATGGAAGTTGGTTAAGTCAATTAAACAAGTTACGTGATTTCACCTTCCAAAACTTACGGAAGACCCCTAAGTGATACCGTTTAGTATAAGGTTGTCCTTTTCCGAGCCCGTTAGAAGAAATAGAGAAATGTAAATCAATTACTTACATATAAAAATCAATTGCTGTTCGTAAGTCTCGCTAAAACTAGAGAACGGCTGAACGGATTTATCTTATCTTGGCCTTGAAATGTTCTTGGAGATCTAGGGAATGTTTAAAAGGTAAGAAAATATGGGAAAATTGCGAGGAAGATAGAAAAAACGTCAATTTTATTTTCCCATATAAACTGTTCTATCAAACATTTGACGCTCGTCCCTTTTGGTACGGTAGACTCGGGTCCGTCATTTCTTCCAAATTACTTTAATTCGTACGAATTACGCGGGGTCAACTATTTATTTATAATTAAAAATTATTTATTTATATTAAATTAATATGTTTATACTGTAGGTCTATATATCTGAGGAGCTGGATGGCGCAAGTGGTTAGCGCGTTTGGCTGCGATCGTTGAAGTTAAGCAACTTTCGCAGTGGTCGGTCATTGGTTGACCAAAAATTTACTATCTCGAACTCCTCCGTGTTTCGGAAGGCACGTTAAGCCGTTGGTCCCAGCTGTATCTGCAGTCTTTAGCACCTACCAATCCGCACTAGGCCCGCGTGGTGGGTCACAGCCCAATCTCTATATTCCAACCATAAGGAAGGCCTGTGCCCCAGCAGTGGGGTCACTAATAGGCTGGTGGTGATGTTTATACATAGTTTATAGTGATGGGTTATGTATGATCTGTTATCCCTGTGTAATTCGGTCCCTAAAAAGGCATGTATCAACCTTATATGATCAACCCTACACCAATAGTGGGGATATTACTAAATTATAATTTACTTAATTTAGGATGTTTAACTGATAATATTTCCTTATGTGCTAGAAGGATATAATAAATTAAAATTTGTGGGGGATATAATAAGTTGATGCAGTCGAGTAGTCGTTGAAGTATTAATTCCATTAGCATTGACATTGAAACATAAAGTTATTCGATATATAAGTTGAGAAATAAATATCCTTTCCTGGCAATACAACTTGCCGTTAAAGGCCTTGGTATTATCAATTTTTATGCGCCCGGTTGTTATGGGCAGATTAAAAAACTGTCAAACGTGACTTCATCGCAGCCTACTCTTGCTTGCCTTGTCTGTGATAAAAGATTTATTGCCAGTATTAATGTATTACTTAAACATGATCTCAGCTTGATCTTTGTCTGCAGGAAAATGAAAGCACGAAAGTGAATCTTGTATTGTGGATGGTATCTATACATACATATCGAGCCCTTACCGCCAAATTATCGTAAGCGACACTTTTGTCGAAATGCGTTTTTTGTGGAAACTAATATTTTAAACCGTAACGGACCCATCTCTGTTGATATTTCCCTCCAAAAGAACACCGTAATAATATAATAGAGGGAAGAATAGAGGGAAATATCAACAGAGATGGGTCCGTTACGGTTTAAAATATTAGTTTCCACAAAAAACACATTTCGACAAAAGTGTCGCTTACGATAATTTGGCGGTAACGGCTCGATATAATAAAATGGTAGGAAAGTCAAAACCGTACATTGAATATTTTTTTAAAAGAATAATTGGGGTGTGATGTACAGTCGATACCGAAGCCAAAAATATAGTTTTTAATTTTTTTTGTCTGTTTGTCTGTATGTATGTCCGGGATAAACTCGAAAAGTACTGCATGGATTTACTTCAAAGGCACGAATATTATTAAGAAGTCGGGTCAACATATAGGCAACATATTATCACGCTATCACCTACGGGGAACGAGCAGTGAACCTTTATTTCTTCAACACATTCTGTAACAACGAATAACTAACTCCACGTGTACGAAGTCGCGGGCGGCCGCTAGTACAAAAATAAATTTTAATTTGAGTCTCGCGTGGTGAACTGGGCAAAGTCAAAAATTGTCAGATGTTTTTTTTTACACCAAGCTTTTATAATTCTTGTGGATTGTAAAAGCTTGGTACATTGTAACGCCCGAGACCTCACGGGGACCTCGGAAATGAAAACCTTCTAAGTCGGTAAACTTGCCACTTAACTACAGACAGAGGTCAGCAAATGGTTTGAATCATACAGTTGTGATTCACTGATATTTATCACATTTAGAGACAAAGTTGAGTCATAGTGAAATGCTCTTTGTGTCTCATTTAATAAGTGTCCTCACGTACAATTTAATGTTCCAAAAGACATACTTACATTCTGCACACAGAACTAATAGAAATAGGTGAAATTGTTTGTTACGCTTACTACACGCCTAAAGTACTAAACGATTATGCTGAAAGAAAATAAATTGGGGGATGAAATTTAGAATGGGAAACCTAATGGTTTATTAATGGCCATTTCGTCTGCCGGCAGACGCTATATATTTAAATCTCAAAGAAAGTTCGAATTTGCTAGTTTTTAGGGTTCCGTACCTCAAAAGGAAAAACGGAACCCTTATAGGATCACTTTGTTGTCCGTCTGTCCGTCCGTCCGTCTGTCAAGACCCTTTTTCTCAGGAACGCGTGGAGGTATGAAGCTGAAATTTATATCAATTACTCAGGTCTACTGTCCCTTGAAGCTGTGAAAAAATCAAACTTCTAAGCCAACGCAATCAAAAGATACAGCCGTTTATGCCGCAAATTTTCGACACTTGCAAGGGAATCAAAACCTACAGGGTGCTTCCCGTGAACTCAGAATCTTGAAATTTGGTACCAAGCAACGTCTTATAGCATAGATAAAGGAAAAATTACGAAAACCATAAATTTTTAGTTACATCACATAATATATTTTTTTTTAATAATTTTAACCTTACTACCCATTTCCCTCATAAACGCGTAGAGGTATTAAATTGAAATTCATACCAAATACTCAGGTCTATAATACCTTTAAGCTGTAACAAAATCAAACTTCTATGTCAACGCAATCAAAAGAAACAGCAATTTAAGCTGCATATTTTGAAACTCGCAAGTACTCGCAAGGGAATCAAAACCTAAAGGGTACTTCCAGTCGACCTAGAATCTTGAAATTTGGCATGAAGCAACGTTTTATAGCACACATAAAGGAAAAATTCCGAAAACCTTAAATTTTTAGTTACATTACAAAATATATATTTTTTAATAAATATAAACTTATTACTTTTTTCCTCATGAACACGTAGAGCTATCAAGTTGAAATTCATATCAAATACTTAGATCTAATTGCCTTTAACCCGTGAAAAAAAAATTCTAAGTCAACGCAAAAACGCAAAACGCAAAAATAACTTTAATAAAAGAACTTTCGCAAGTCTGCTGCAAGGCTAGTATAAGTGTTTCAGTTATATTATAGATAAATGATATGTGTTAATATAAAATAAAGGATTACTTAAACGATAAAGAGATCTTTGTCTTAAATTTATGCTCCTCCATCTTTCCCCATTGTAATGTTATGAATTTCATTTTGCAATAAAAATACCATAGTTATGACTCGATTGTCGTAATGAACGAAGTTTGTAAACCTTGCAGGTTTGTACGGAACCCTCGGTGCGCGAGTCCGACTCGCACTTGGCCGGTTTTTATGACTTGGTCTGTGACTGTGCCCACATACATGTCTAGATGTTTTCAGATTACTTTCGACGTACGATCGATACGCAATTTGGCACCCATGCTGTCTGCCCTCAGACACACTTGGCTTTACTTACTTCGAAAATATCTAGCGCAGCTTTATTTATATTTGCCTACACTTACAGAACAGCATACAGTCTTCATTTTTGCGACTCGGCAGTTCTGTGTTAGCACTGAGACACGATCATTCAATAAGTAAAATAAGCATAATCGATACTCAGGAGTGTATTTTGAAATCTGGCCGCTAGGGCCACTTCCGATTTGCACTGCCCCCTAGAATTAGTAAATCAAATAAAAATATAGGTCGGTAACGAATGCCTTTTTATCGCATCTGACGCCCCTCGCAGCTGTTGCAGCCGCCTCTACACTTTTTACAATTAAGCAATATGTATGTATTTATGTTATTGTAAATCCATTCGTGTTCTTCTTTATATTTGTATAACGAAACACCGCGCTCCATACAGGCCCTGTCAGAATACCAGCGTTGCCGTGACACGTTTAGTTACTTGTCACGGCAGACCCTGCCTGATTCCTGTCCTGATTGACCAATATTATAACTTTGTTAGGTTTATTAATGTTTTGTGCTGTTGAATTTGTATATATGTTTTTATTTCCGCTGTTTGTATGATATGATTGTGTTTTTATTGGTCTATAAAATGGTTGTCTCTCTCTCCTCTCTCAGGCTGCCGCCCCGGTCCTTTGGCCTTTTGTTCCTAGAGTAAATACACCCCTGCCGGCACCCTGATATTCAACAGAATCTCAACAGCAGATGTAATAAATAACATTGTTGTAGAGTTCCTCCGACTCGGTGCTGACGACCGGCTCGATATCGGAGCGCATCAGCAGTCTCCAGCAGCAGAATGCCGACCACGCGCTGCCTGCGCACATCGCCTCCACACTCCACAGGAACAAGAGTTCCTTGCACTCCCAAGGACAGAGCTCGCTTGGTAAGTAAATGGTGACGGAGGCCAATTCACGAATTTTGACAGCTCCGTAATCGTATCGTCACCGTCTATATCGTTTGTATGGAAAGAACCAGTACCAGTAGGGGCGCTGCTCAGTTTCCATAGGAACTTTGACGATTGATTCGATTACAGTGCTGTCAAAATTCGTGCCTGGGCCTCAAATTGCACGAATGCTTTGAAATCGTGCCGTTAGCATTCTAATAACGCTCTCAGTTTGTATTTTTAAACTTTACATCTTACACCCAACGTCCTATTAAAAAGTGTGGATAGGTAAAAAATCTCTCGATTTAAAGAATGTTCACATGCTTGCAAATAGTAAGTCATAAGATGTTATCTAATCATTAAAAATAATGCCGAGAAAAGTGCGCGTGGGAATGATCTCTTACCTATAAATTGCTATGTGTACCTATTAGTAAGTTTGTGCCATGATTCCTCACACTATCGAATTTTACAGGAAGGAAATTCCATGAGATGAAAAATAAAAGTCAGTTTTGCAGTGAGTCTGCCTGTATACAGGTTGGTCAAAAAGTCGTGGATCAAACGAAACAGGGAGATAAAGAAGGTTATTTCCAACAAAAAATCCTTCTACAGCATGGCCATAACTTCATTGCACGAAAAGTTATAAATATTTTTGTTTTTTTCAATGAATCTACCGAGTTTTTTTACAATTTAATCAATAAAAAAATAAATTGATTAAACACAATAAAACAAAAGGTGTTGTATTATGACCGGATTATGTATCAATACTACAAAAATTGTATTGGAGCTCTCGGTACCAAATTTAACGAGCAATGAATTTTTTTTCGTAAATTTTGAAGCCATACAAAGAATTTCTTCTCACTTTAGGAGCACCATGTGAAAAAAAATGTATTACAGAAAAGTGATCCTGTATTAAAAAAACTTGCTGATTTAATGCTGATTCAAATGAGGTATAACACTTTACTGTGTGACCTTTAGTTTTGGTTTTATGGTCGTTTTTTCATGTCAAGGTGCAAATTTATAAAATGGTAAATTGAAAGGAAAATTTAGATTCTTGCTCATACATACTATGATATACATATTTCAGAAGCCATCATGAAATAAAAAGAACAATTATGACTTAGTAATTTTATTACAATTAAAATGTTTACATTAAATGTTCAAAGTTCCTACCTCTGACCATAATGCACAATATGCACCGCCTAATAAAATTCGCACGTAATCGGCGGAATGCACCTCTGTTTCAACAATTTGTAACCTAGCGAACTCGAGCTTTTGTCGTAGTTCTTGTTCGGTGTTATTCTCTCCTTGATACACTATTTCTTTGAAATAGCCCCAAAAAAAAAGTCTATTGAGTTAAGGTCGGGCGACCAGGGTGGTCATGCAATAGGTCCGCCTCGACCAATCCACCGGTTAGGGAAGCGCTCGTTCATTTGAATTTGGACATTTGTCCTCGAACTGCTCGAGCATAATGAGGCGGGGCGCCATCTTGTTTCAGCCACATTTCTGCCACTCTATCTTCAGGAATCTCAGCTTCGTTGAGTATTTGGTTCAAATTATTCTGTAAAAAATTCAAATTCAGAGCACCATTCAGCCTTGGTGGCACTTCATGTAGCATAGGCTTCTGGTCAATTATTCCAGCCCACATGTTTATACCAAACAAATTCTTGAATCGATCATTTCTGATGATATGTGGGTCACTCTTGAGTAAAATTGTAAATTGCGGATGTTAAAAATTCCCATTCTTCTAAAATTTGACTCATCAGTCCATAAAATTTTGTTGTAGAACTGCGGATCCTCTCTGTGTCGTCTAAGCATCTCCATAGTCAGAGGGCTGTAAAGCTTATAAAGCCCTTTGCACGTGGTAACCGTGGTATTTTTTTCTTTTAATAATAAGCTGCACCGTCGATCATGGGATCCCGAGATTTCGTTGGCGTTGGCTAATACCAGGGTTCATTCTTAACTGTCTCAGTAATGAGTGATGTGCGTGAAAACCTAAGAAACAAATATGTCTCAGTATTTGCTCTTCATTGTCAAATCGTACCACTGGTCTACCTGTTCTCAATTTTTGACAAAGGATTAAATGGTTAGTGTGAAAGCATGTCTGTCCATTTCATAAATCCTAAGCGTGACAAGAACAGAACATTTCTAGCGTTCCAACGTACAAAAAACTAGCCGTTTATGTTCAACTAGTAAATTATTTGAATAAGGTTAATTTAATGAAATTTGCACCTAGATATGAAAAAACGACCATAAAACCAAAACTAAAGGTCACACAGTAAAGTGTTGTATCTCATTTGAATCAGCATTAAATCAGCAAGTTTTTTTAATACAGGGTCACTTTTCTGTAATACATTTTTTTTTCACATGGTGCTCCTAAAGTGAGAAGTAATTCTTTGTAACGCTTCAAAATTTACGAAAAAAAATATATTGCTCGTTAAATTTGGTACCGAGAGCTCCAATACAATTTTTGTAGTATTGATACATAATCCGGTCATAATACAACACCTTTTGTTTTATTGTGTTTAATCAATTTATTTTTTTATTGATTAAATTGTAAAAAAACTCGGTAGATTCATTGAAAAAAACAAAAATATTCATAACTTTTCGTGCAATGAAGTTATGGCCATGCTGTAGAAAGATTTTTTGTTGGAAATAACCTTCTTTATCCCCCTGTTTCGTTTGATCCACGACTTTTTGACCACCCTGTATATATTCGAACCTTATCCTTGCTTGTGACAATCAACTTTACATAGAACAATTCAATAGTCAACGGAGTACTAACATTCAGATTTTGTTAGTACGAGTGTAGGCCAACGTAGAGTGACATTGTTCCTAGTACATTTTTTATCATTTGTTATGATAGCGACCACAAAATATAGCTCTGTGACAGACAGACAGCGGAGCCATATTAACAAGGTACCGTTTGTAATTTTTTGGTTACATAAAAACGATCTCGGAAAAATTGGTTTATGGCGGCGACAGCTATATGCCCCACATATAACTAACATGGAGGAAATAATCACTCGACTCCACAAGAGATGGCGCTACCTGCGCTGCGATCACAATGTATGGAAGCCTACATCGCGCAAGTAAAATTCGGAGGCTAACACTCCATATATACGAGTACAATGCCCGACCAACATCAGTCGGGCCGCGGCCCCCTAGCTACCATCACCCAGCTCGGAGGAAGATCTTTCCCTAGGCCTTCATACAGGTTCATTATCCCTTTTTCTAGGCGGTAGTATAACCACGCTAACGTCCGCGCCGGCCATTATTGTCTCTCTCCACGTCGGATCAGTCGGAGCGGCCGCGTGTGGTACGCATTCCTGAAAATATCATGTGTTTTCCTATCCCGTTTAAAAGAAAGGAACCTGTGACAGCAGAGTCATATTAACAGGGCTCCGTTGGTGACGCTTTGGATACGTGATGTTGGTACATTGTATGATTTCGCTTACATCAGCGCCGGCAACTCCAACGCCATCATTGTTCGTCTATCTCCACGTCCGACTTGTCGGAGCGGCTTAGTAATACTCATTGCCTGAAAATAAAAGAAAACCTGATTTGTCGAAGCGGCGTAACACTCATTCTTCGAAAATTTCAGGTGTCGTCCTATTCCGTATAAGAGATAGAGTACCCCTAGCAGAACCATAGTAACAGGGCTCCGTTTGTCATCTTTTGGATACGTGATGTTGGTTCATTGTCACATTTTCTAGGCGGTAGTATGACCTCGCTCGCATCAGCGCCGGCCACTCCGACGCCCTCGTCGTCTCTCTCCACGTCTGACTTGTCGGAGCGACCGCGAGTCAGTCACGGCAAGCCTAACTTGGCACCGAAGCCGCCCACGATGGCCGACACCAGGCCGTCGCCGCCGCCCAAGAAACTCATCGTCAACGGCAAGATAGCGGCGAGGGCGCAGAGTATGAGGGTGCCGAGGTATGTGCGCTACTTTTTGAAGTGAAGAAGTGAAACTTCTTTTAGGACGTGGTGTAAATGGAAAAATAAAAAAATAAATAATAAATAAATAAATATTTCCAAGACTCACAATTTCAATTAGCCTAGCCCCAAAGTAAGCACTGTAAGGCTTGTGCTATGGGATGCTAGGGTAACGGATAGAATACATATACTGTACATATATAAGTATATTTATATAGAAATACATATAAAACATCCATGACTGGAGTACAAATGCTCGTATTCATCACACAAACATCTGCCCCCACCGGGATTCGAACCCCTCTCGAGTCGGCGACACCATGAAACCCGGCGTGCAAACCACTCGGCCACGGAGGTCGTCAAAATGGTAGGTTATGTAAGAAAAGAAATTTCACTTTAGATGTGTGGTCCGTGCCTTCTTTTTATTTATAGATGTTGTGAGATTCATCATTATTATCGGCATCAGTCGATTAATATCCCCACTGCTGGGGAACAGGCCTACTCTACAGGCCATGTCTCACCACATGGGCCCCATGCGAATTGGTAGGTGCGAACGACTACAGATGCAGGCATCTGCATTTTTTTCGAGATCAAAACTCCTATGACTGAAACAAGGTAATAAAGTAAGTTCATGTTTCCTGCCAATGACCAGTGCCAAGATTTTAGCCCTAGAAAGATCACATTTAACTGAAAGATTGCCAAGACTTTAAGGCCATTTTCTGGTACTACATTTCCCCCTTTACTATGCTCAAGTTCGTAGAAGGCTTAATTTCAGTCCATTAAAAAAAGATTTTGAGACATTCGAACAACGGATCAGAAATGGTATAGAATACGAACTGCGCGAAAAACTGTTTCCGCGCAAACTGAGATCATGGGACCGTAATGTAGTACCAGAAAATGGCCGTAAAATCCTGGCAATATTTCAGTTAAGTATGATCTTTTTATGCCTTCTGCATCTGCCCCTTGACTCAACTTATTATTATTATTAATTGGTGTGATTAGATCACCGCCGGTGTCCCCGCCGTCCCCGCAGACGGGTAACGGTCGCCCGCTGCAGCTGCCCCCGGCGCCAGCCAATCCCCCCATCGGCACCAAGAATCCAGCTTCACATTTCGGTAAGCATTTTCAAACTGACATTTTGAATAAACTATTTAAAATTTATTAATATGACATTGAAATAATTAATGATTATATTGCATGCCGATAAGGCAGAATGTGGCTGTACTGTACTCAAATGTATCTGTGTAACAACTTTGTAATCTGTATTCGCAATAAAGTTGATTTGGTTTGAAAAACTATTCGCCACAATAATTTAAAGGGGCTTCTTACTCCAACATTATTTTTATGTCAATCCAGTTAATCTACGGTTGCCTGGAAAAAAAAGCTTCTTAGCGATAAGGCCGCCGTTTATACTTGTACATTGTCGTATGTAATAAAATGGAAATTAATTATGGTGTATAACAAAGTGATCATTCATTCACCTAATATTCTTAAATCGAAATAAGTCTTAATTTAAGACATCATTTCATCTTTTTCAAACGTTAGACCCCTTATTAACTGTACGGGTTTAGCCGCACATTAAACACATATTAAGTAGGTTAACGCGTCAGCAATATGACCCGCTGCACGACTTATTACTTTATAATTTATTAATTTCATTGTTTCGCAATAATAACATATTGAATCTATAATTAGTGTCTATCCGGTAGCCTTACCAACCGCGCGTACTCACTCTTACCTTTTCACCATACGTAAACCATTCTTTCACCATACTTTAACTTTAGTTTTCCTATTTATAGACTTCGTTATAGAAGTGTAAATTATCTCAATAAACTCTCAGTAATTGTTTCCAGTGACTTTCTATTTACCAATCTCTTCTCTAAAGGTGTATAACCCGTACATCTATATGGTCCTTCGATTCGTAGAAGGAACCTTTCGCGAGTGTATAATTAATTGTGATCTGAGTTGACAGTGTAGTTTGCACGGAGTTGCAATTATTGTTCGACTAGTGGTTCCTAAGTTATACCAGTCCTAAGTTCTGGCCGTACCAAGGCTGGGATACCAGGATTACAACCATTGCTGAATCTGATCAAGGTTCAGATTATCGAGACATCTTCTATAACCAAGTAAGATCTTTCCTTTTTTTTAACCACTCACCATTACCATGGAGGCTTTACTGGAAACGCAAAGCCAAATTATGGCGGGTATGGATCAACTTCTCTCAAACTTCAAGAAGGACGGCCGTGACCGCAAGACACCAGATTATATAAGGAGGAAGCTGGAGATGTTGGAAAATTACTGGAGAGAATTTCAATCAAACCACGATTTATTGTGCGAATTTGAAAACCAAAACAACGCTTATTTTACAGGTAAGGAATATGAAAGATCCAACGATTTTTATATACAAACTAGGCAACTTATACAAAGTTACATGCCGGAAGACAGTAGACCATCAACATCAGTTTTGAAACCAGCAACACCATTCAACGCGCCGTCGCACCCACGAAAACCAGAAGAAAAGAACACCAAACTCGATGAGCTGTTCCGTAAGCAGGCTAGCAACTTTAAAGCCTTTTCACGTACAGTCGCCACCATAAACATTGATGCTCTAGAAAATAAGTGGGAATTCGACGATGCCCTCAGAAATTTGCAGTCAAGGTGGGGAGTTATCGATACAATGCACTGGGAGATAGATAGTGAACAGAGAGACGACAGCTCTACTTACGATGCATACGAGGCAGAGTTTTCAAGGTACGAAAATATATTTCTCGCTATTAAAAAGGATATCAATACCAAGATGTGGTCCGTTTCACACAGGGAGAAATCTACTCCTCAAATGGAAATTCCATTCTTTACTGGTAATTACCAGCAGTGGACATCATTTAAAGATTTATTTCAAGAATCTATTCACCATAATCCGTCCCTATCCAACGCACAGAAACTCCAATTTTTAAAGAGTAAGCTGAAGGGCGAGGCGGAAAAGCTAATACAGCATTTAAATGTTTCCTCTGAAAATTACCAAATTTCATGGGACATTCTCAACCACCGTTTTAATAATAAAAAGTTGATATTCACTTCTCATCTCAACACGCTGTTGAATTTACCAGTTTTACAAGTCCAAAATGCTGTGCTTATAAAAAAGTTACATGACACAACCAATGAATGTCTACACGCTATTCAAAAAATGGGCGTTGATACCTCAACGTGGGATCCTATCATCGTTCATTTATTGGCCCAAAAGCTTGATATCGACTCACATAACGAGTATGTGGGCTCCTTAGAAAGTCCGAGAGAGCTGCCAACACTAAAGGATTTTTTGAAGTTTTTGGAATCAAAGTTTACGTCTTTAGAAGCTTTTCGCCGCAAACAGGAGTCAACCAAGCATTCACAACATGAAGATTTTCGTTACAAGAGACCATATCATCAATCATCTACCAGTCACCAACAAAATAAACCATTTACCAAACCATCTACTTCATACAAGACTTTGCACGTGGAGCCTAAAAGATGTCCTCATTGCAACGAAAAACATGCAATTTACATGTGCAAACTCTTTCGCGAATCTAGGCCGGACGTAAAGCGAAAAACAATTGCGAAATTCAGTCTTTGCGAAAATTGTTTACTCGATCACCACGGCAAAGAATGCTTATCCAACAAAACGTGTCGCCAATGCAACGGCAAGCATAATTCCTTGATTCACGACTCGTTTACGTCATCGATAGAAAGTTCAACAGTCGCGAACACCAAACCAATGAGTGACAGGAAAACATGTCACGTTTCCAACGGGAACATAGCGGAAACCCTTTTAGCTACAGCCAATGTCAAGGTGCAAGCTGCAGATGGGAGCTACATTATTCTACGGGCGCTCATAGACCAGGGCTCTCAAACATCTTTAATATCCGAAAACGCAGCCCAAATGCTACGACTATCCAGAAGACGTCATAAGGGAGTTATCTTTGGCATTGGCGCAAAAGAAAATAACTGCAAAGGGCTTATTCGCATACATATACATTCATTATTAAATGACTTTTCCATAAGTACAGATGCGTTTATTATGAACAGTTTGATAAATAAATTACCAAACCATTCCTTTGAAAGGCCGACCTGGAAATATTTAGAAAATATTGATTTAGCAGATCCTGAATTTTATGTTAGTAGGCAAATTGATATTCTACTGGGTGCGGATATTTATTCATCGATTATAATGAGCGGTATTATAAAATTAGGACCACACCACCCTGTTGCGCAAGAAACACAATTTGGATGGATCCTATGCGGTAATGTTGAAAACAAAACGTTCAATTGTAATGTAGTTCTCAACCAAACAGACGCATTACAAAGATTCTGGGAAATCGAAGACATATCGCAGACATCACCATTTTCTGAAGCCGATGACCATTGCATTAAGTATTACCAGTCTACAACCATAAGGGATGAAAACGGAAGATATCATGTGAAAATTCCTTTCAATCCAGACCAAGAAAACCAGTTAGGAACATCCAAACCCATGGCTATTGCTCAATTTCGACAACTAGAAAGAAAATTTTCTAAAAATAACTTATTTGCAAATGATTATAAAATATTTATGAACGAATATCGCTTATTAGATCATATGACACTGGCCGCCCGCGACAACGGTAACAAGATACTCGATTGCTATTTGCCGCACCATGGCGTAATGCGTTCTGAGTCATCTACCACTAAACTTAGAGTCGTTTTTAATGCGTCGGCTAAAACATCGACGGGTCGCAGTCTGAATGACGTCATGGAGGTAGGTCCCAATCTACAACAAGACTTACAATCTTTGATTTTGAAGTGGCGTCAATACCGCTACGCTTTCACAGCCGATATAGAAAAGATGTTCCGCCAAATTAGAGTCCAGGAAAGCGATCAAAAATACCAGAAAATTATTTGGCGGGACGCACCAGACCAACCACTCCAAGAGTACCAGCTCACCACTGTTACGTACGGAACCAAATCTGCCCCCTTTTTAGCGATGATGACTTTAAGACAACTTGCTATTGATGAAAGTTCTAAGTACACCATCACCAATGCTACCAAGGTCCTAGAAGAATCATTCTACATGGATGACGTCTTACATGGATGCCATAAAGTATCCGATGGCGTTTTATTAAAAGCGGATTTAATTAAATTACTTAGATCTGGAGGCTTCAATTTACATAAATGGAAGTCTAATACCAACGAATTACTGTCTGATCAAAACCAAATCAACCAAAGCGACTTTGACTTCAAACAAGCGGAATCTACCAAAACATTAGGTCTCCGTTGGCAACCAACCAATGATTTATTTATTTTCGATTATAAAATAGACTTGAGAAATTCTCACCACACCAAAAGGAGCCTTCTATCGGACATATCTAAGTTATTTGACCCGCTAGGCTGGATTTCACCAATTACCACCAAGTTAAAAATATTATTCCAAAATGTTTGGAAAACACAGCTTGAGTGGGATGAAAAATTACCAGAAGAGATATACTGCGAATGGATAAAAATAAGAACAGATCTACAGAATATTAGCCAGCTGCAAGTACCAAGATGGTTGGGTATTCAAGATCAAGATACCATCGAATTACACGGTTTCTGCGATGCCTCCATCAAAGCTTTTGCCGCCGTCATATACTGCAAAATAACCAGAGGCGACGCAGCATCAGTTGCGTTGGTTGTAGGAAAAACCAGACTAGTGCCAGCCAGTAAAACCATTACCTTGCCGAAACTAGAACTTTGTGGGGCACATCTACTTTCAAAACTAATGCAGAAGGTCCGTGTTTGTTTTGAAAATTATGAAACCAAAATGTACGGTTGGATTGACTCAATGGTCGTTCTAGGGTGGCTCAACGGAGAACCTACGCGTTGGAAACCGTTCGTAGCCAACCGTGTCAGACAAACAACGGAGATCATACCAGTAGAAAATTGGCAATACGTCAAATCCGAAGAAAACCCGGCTGACTGTGCAAGTCGAGGTTTGAATGTCTCTCAATTAAAACAGCATCAGTTGTGGTGGCAAGGACCTCACTGGCTATCTTCATATTCAGATAGATTACACAATAAAAAACCAAAATACACCACTGATTGTGAATTGAAGAAATGCAATAAAAATAATATTCATTTAGTGACTCATATACCCAGAGAAAATATTGTACTAGATCTAATTTCAAAACATAGTACGATAACAAGGTCAGTCCGTATTCTTGCTTGGATAATGCGAATGCGAAATACATTTAAATTACCATATTTAACCACGACAGAATTAAATAAAGCTAAAGAATTCATAATAAGAACAGTACAACAACAAGAATTTGCAAAAGAAATTATGAGTTTAAAAACCAATAACAATCTAGAAAAACACAGCAAAATTTATAGTTTAAACCCATTTTTAGATGAAGTGGGCTTACTTCGCGTCGGCGGCAGACTGAAAAATGCTTACATAGAAGAAAATATGAAGCATCCCATAATTATTCCACCAAACCATATTTTAACCAAACTTTTAGTCGATCATGCTCACCAACAAACACTCCATGGTGGTGCAAGACTTACCTTGGCATTTCTCAGAAGGAACTACTGGATAATCAGCGGAAATCGTATCACCAAAAAATATATCCGCTCATGCGTCAACTGTAGAAGAAACGGACCAAGTTTACAACAACAGTTGATGGGAGACCTTCCAGAAGCTCGAAGTAACCCGTCACGTCCATTTTACCACACGGGCGTTGACTTTACTGGTAGTATCATTATTAAGGCGAATAAGGGCAGGGGCATGAAAACCATGAAAGGTTACGTGGCAGTGTTTGTGTGCATGGCAACCAAAGCCGTGCACTTGGAGTTGGTCTCGGACCTTAGCACTTCGTCATTCCTCGCTGCATTACGTAGAATGGCAGCCCGAAGAGGAACGCCTCACCATATATATTCCGATAACGGAACTAACTTTGTCGGTGCAAGCAGGGTACTGAACAAAGAGTTCGAGGAGCTGAAGCATGTCTTTAATGAAGAGTTTCTGTCAGAAGCTTCGGAGATGGGTATCCACTGGCATTTCAATGCACCAGCGTGGCCTACGGCAGGGGGACTGTGGGAGGCCGCAGTCAAAAGTCTCAAGTATCACCTCAAGCGAGTAGTAGGAGAGCAAAGGCTCACTTTTGAGGAGTTTACCACGATCTTAACTCAAATAGAAGCGTGCCTCAACTCACGGCCGTTGTGTCCCCTAACAGAAGATCCAGAGGACTTAAACTTCCTTACACCATCTCACTTCTTAGCTAGTGGACCCACTCTTACCATTTTAGAAACCGAAACGGACTTAAGAACCAGGTGGCATTTGACGCAAAAAATCTTTCAAGATATTTGGAAGCGATGGCAAGCGGAATATCTTACACAATTATCGGCGAGATCTAAATGGCGACAACCAAAGGAAAACATTAAAATCGACGATGTCGTCATTATACACGACACCAACCTACCTGCTGGGAAGTGGGCGCTGGGACGAGTGGTCGAGCTTCACCCTGGCAAAGATAATTACGTCCGAGTCGTCACCATAAAAACCAAAAATGGATTCATGAAAAGGCCTGCCACAAAATTATCAATCTTACCAGTATCAAATCACCAAGAAGAAATAAAACCAGCTCCTCAAATACCTGAAAACCAAACTCACCAAAAAACCAGAAAAAACCAACCGAGAAAGTCATTTACTACTTGTTTATCACTGCTACTAATGTTATTTACTTGTTTATTTACACCAGCTAGCTGTTCGTATAATATATATCCTTTAAACAAAAATAACAATATGTACTTTCTCGATAAAACATCTACTATGTATTTGATTAGAGATGAATGGAAACTCGTCGTATATTACGATTTAAACCCTTATTGGCAAGGTACCACTCTGCTAAATAAGTACGTCTCTCACCTTGAAACCATATGTTCCAAACTTAAACAGACACAATGTGACGTACTCTTATTACAATTAGGTCATGGATACCAAGAATATAATTACTACAACCGCATATTGCTCGGTCAGCAAACTGCGCGCCCGATAACTCGCCGGCGCCGCCGCGGACTTATCAATGGAGTCGGTAACGTTGCCCACACTTTATTTGGAATTCTGGATGAAAGTTTTGCCGATCAATATACCAAAGATATAAACCTGATACGAATTAACGAAAAACATCTTGAAAATTTGTGGCGTAACCAAACTTCGGTAGTAGAAGCAGAGTATAATTTGCTAAAAAGAACCGAATCGACAATGGAACAGCAACATAAAAAGTTTAATCAACACTTGATAAATCTCGAAAAGGCAGCAAAACAGTTAAATACGGAAATAAACCACGCTATCGATATGAATGACTTTACCATATCAGCATTAATTGCAAACAACATTCTCTCTAACTTACGAAATATTCAGGAAACATTATTAGACACCATTACCAATATCTATTATGGAAACTTCAACATACACTTGTTGAAACCAGAACAGTTAATTCAAGAACTTCATTTAATAACGGGACACATTTCCAAGGATTTATCGCTACCAGTCGATAACATCCAAAATGAATTACCAAAGATATATCATCTGATGAAAGTAAAAGCAAGAACTACAAATGAATATTTGTTATTTGAGATTAAAATCCCACTTGTAAGTAGAGATTTGTATGATGTTTATAAAATTATACCAATTCCGAAAGGGAATAACGAAACCATGGCCACCCTAATGCCTGTTGCCTCTCACGTTGCTATTAATTTACGCAAGGATTTATATTTACCAATGCCGGACAATGTTCTCCAGAGCTGCACCCTCTATGATGTGGAAGTTCAACTCTGCCCAGTGCATACCCCACTATATCAGTTTAAAACTGATGAAAGTTTATGTGTCAAGGATCCGATCACCGGCAACTGCAAAACAAGTATTGTTCCGTGTGCTCAGTCATGGTCTCAACTTCAAAGGACGAATACTTACCTTTTCTCCTGTTGTCATGAATGTCCTATAAGAATAATGTGTGATCAACTCATATCGGCGGAGCGACTCACCGGGGCCGGTGTGATAACGCTCGGAAACGGCTGCGTCATCAAGGGCGAATCCGTCACCATAATGGCGCATAAGCAACTCTCCAATAATATAAACATAAAACCAGACATCTTGACGCCAGACATACCGCCTATAAATAATATAATAAATGTCACTATCCCTGACTCTCCCATGGTAATGACTCCTAGTGGTTTACAAAAGGATCTAAAGTAACTCGGAGACCAGATTAGAGAAATAAAATCTCAGCCTGGCGTAGCAGATGTCGTCTCTTACCACGACGTTCACCAGTACGTCGCCATCTACGTGTTGCTGGGAGCAGCCATCGTTGTCGGCCTCGCATGGGCGAGCCACCGGGTGCGCGCGCGCCGAGCCGCGCGCCGCGCCTCCTCCACGCGTAGCGACATAGACGCTACATATAGTGCTAGTGCCGGTGTGCAGTGTGTTAGTGTTAAAGAGTGCGTATCTGATTCAACCAATTACAGTGAAATAAAATCTGAAGGGCCTAGTGCGTGTGATACAAAAATCGAAAGGCCCAGTGGCAGTGAAAATACAAAAAAGTGCCAAGTTCGGTTTAATACTACACCAGTGCCAAATTTCCGCACCCATTTTAGACAATCTAATTAATTAATTATTATGCACTAACAACTTACCTATTGTTCTTACACCTTGTTAAGCACTTCACCACATTATTATTTACTTTGCACTTTACTAATAATAGCTATAACTTTCCTTTAATTTCTATTGCCTACCACTGCATTTTTTCTCTCCCCCGGGAGCATGTACGGGTTTAGCCGCACATTAAACACATATTAAGTAGGTTAACGCGTCAGCAATATGACCCGCTGCACGACTTATTACTTTATAATTTATTAATTTCATTGTTTCGCAATAATAACATATTGAATCTATAATTAGTGTCTATCCGGTAGCCTTACCAACCGCGCGTACTCACTCTTACCTTTTCACCATACGTAAACCATTCTTTCACCATACTTTAACTTTAGTTTTCCTATTTATAGACTTCGTTATAGAAGTGTAAATTATCTCAATAAACTCTCAGTAATTGTTTCCAGTGACTTTCTATTTACCAATCTCTTCTCTAAAGGTGTATAACCCGTACATTAACAGAGTCCCTTAGCTTCTTGAAGACGCCAGAGAGCTTTTTGATATGCTTTGCCAGAAGCGTGAGATTTGAAATTCAAATGTTCGTCGACTACAATACCCAAATATTGAATACACTCTTAACTTTACTTAGCTATTTGTAAACTCGACATCAGTCTGTCCTTTTCATTACTTATGAAGCATAATAAGGATAGATTGTTGTCAAGTTTACAAATATGAATAGCCAAGTAAAGTGCCGACACATTAAGAGAACATTGAACGAAGTCAGCTATGTCTCCGAGTAACCCGCGCGTGTTGTAACAACCGAGCACTCAGCGGGTGTAAACTGTGTCTGGAAATTTGCTATTTGTGCTTTACCCACATTTTCACATTTTTGCGATTTGGGGTCTCGCAGTAAGAAATTGCTCAGTGAGTTTGTCAAGGCTCACTTACACGACTCCGCTTTCACCCGCAAAGAGAATATTATTCAAATATAGGCTTTAAGTATTGCTCTTTTGTTATAATTTACATTGGCAACATAAATTAGGAGACAGTTTGCTGTTAGCGTGCTTACCGTTGTAAAATTACTCGGTAGTTGACGCCTTGCTTACCACGCGTTGCAAGGAAATGGTCTGCGCTGTGTCGGCGCGCTGACGGCTAGTAAGCCATCCTCATATACTAAGCAATTCGCTGACAACTAGCCGTCGGCGCGTGGATAGCGGGGTACCTGCTAGCTGGCGTCGCGTGGACTGCGAGCTGTCTTAGTTTAGGGTGGTGCTGGAACAGAGTCGTGTAAATAAGATGTTTAGTCTGAAGATGACGTGTACGTTTGTTGCAGGTACATTACGAGCGCCGCGCGGGCTGCGCCCCCCGGGCGTGTGCCCGCCCCCTCCCCCGGGCGGCCCGCCCCCGCCGCCGCCCCCCGCGCGCCTCGCCTCCCTCGCCGCGCCGCCCCCGCCGCCGCCCCCGCCGCCCCACAACCGGCAGAACGTGAGTCAACCTCCCTACAGCGCCGCATGTACATACATTACGTGTGCCCGCCCCCTCCCCCGGGCGGCCCGCCCCCGCCGGCGCCCCCCGCGCGCCTCGCCTCCCTCGCCGCGCCGCCCCCGCCGCCGCCCCCGCCGCCCCACAACCGGCAGAACGTGAGTCAACCTCCTTACAGCGCCGCGTGTACATACATTACGTGTGCCCGCCTCCTCCCCCGGGCGTCACTTGTCACTCACCAATCCGCACTGGGTCCATTGTCATCCACCAATCCGCGCTGAGTCCCTTATCACCCACCGAACACTAGATTCATGTTTTTTGTGACGGGTATTGTTTACCGATGAGTCAACGGTGCGCGCGTAATGCAAAAATCGTAACACATTCGCCAGTTTACCCCCCAAGTCAAGCGTGCATAAAGAACTTTCACTTAAAGAAAAACGAGCGACCCTTACAGTAGTCGCGTATGATGTGTAACATTCAAATGTTAATGTGAGGTTTCAAAACCTCACCTTATATTAGTAAAAACAGAAATAAAACCTACTACAAAACGAATAAGCCATTTGAACATTGTGTTCTAAACTCAAATCAAATAGCGCGCGCTTCCCAAACTTCCTGTTACACACTTCCGTCCCACTTCACGTAATCACTCCCACAAATTGCACGAAAGCGAGAGGAAAGATGTTTCACACCAAAAAAAAAATATACAGTCGAACACAGAACCTCCTCCTTTTTTGAAGTCGGTTAAAAAAAACGTCTTATGTATGCAACAGAGTATGAACGGCGAGGAACCGAACGCGCCCGCGCCGCCTGTACGCGGCTCATCGATGCGCCCCTCCGACCTAGAAGCGAGATTCGCGGAGCTATTCCACTCGCCGGCCAAGTTCCCGCCGCCGGACCGTTTCCAGCGCATCACTAAAGGGTACAGCAGCGCCGCAGTCGCCGGTAAGTACGCGTGAGATAAGAAAACAGGACTACGCCTTATAGGCGAGTAGCGAACACCGGTCTGTCTCTCACTGTAGGCCTATTTACTAACTTTTTTTGACTTTTTTGACGTTTACAGTGGTGTCTAAACTTAAAACTAAATTTAACATCAGTGCCGCCTTTTCATTCTGTATGGAGATTGACAAAGATACACTGTTGTCTAATTTTATTTTAGGTATAAAAATTATGACAGCGTCGACACCATTCCGTAACTAAAGGCAAAATTGAATTACTATTGATGCTTTTCAGGATAAGTGTCAATCTCAGTGGCGTTATAATAAAACAGCAGGCCAATCGCGCTATTTATTATTATGAATGATCCGCCACAGTTCAATTATGGTCCAATTTTAGTCCAATTCTAATTGCAAGTCATCTTTATACGAAACCGATATCGCGCTAACTTGTCAACTGATTCTACTTTTATGTTTTTGACTGAAGTTCCCAGGAGTAAGGTCCAATCGTGATACGTTTACATCTCAACTAGCTGTTAAAAGTTTAGCACGATACGAAATGTCATAAAAAGTTGCGGTTCGTTTACGGTTCAATGCCTTTCAATCGTTTGATATTTATTAGCGCGATCGGCGTCCTGCAGTGGATCAGTAAATGGCTCGGTGATAATCACTTCAAAATCAGATAACGAATAGGCCTACCGACCCATAGACAGAAAAAGGCCAGTTTCAATATTAAAATTCCAATTAAACTTTAATAAAAAGCTTTGTTTCCTAAAGCGTGTCCAACGAAAGAATGCGATCCTGCCAGATCGTGTCAGTTCTTAGGTTAACAGAATAAAGTACACTTTCGATTTAGTGAAAAAAGTGGTCCGAAAATAAACCCTAATTCTGTCGCCATAAGGAACTGGCACAACCTCCAACCACTGGATAGCATTCACTCGTTAGCCGTAATGTAGATATTTTTATTATTTATATTATAATGGCAAGTTACTGTTGCTAAGAAACGGATTCAGTTTATTTTTATTTTTTACTGGAGGTTGATTATTGAAACTGGCCGATGGAGAATGGACTAAGCTACACTCGCCAGGGAATTGACAATTCTCTAGCTAGAAAGAGAGAAATGACAGCCAATACTTATAGGAACTGCGGAGCGCCCGATTGCTTCGACTCGATAATTTTGCTTTAAACGTTGGACAGTGATTGCTCATTCCATTCTCATGTCTATGCCTAATATCGACGACAATGCGACTAGCTATTGACTATTATTTAGTGGAGTTGGGTGGAAAAGCGTTTATTGGAAAGACGAGAAAAAAAACGAGCAGCTGATCGCCGACTGCTTAACTCTTTACTAGTTTAATTAAGCGCCAAGACAAAACAAGCATTTTTTTGCTCGCCAACTCGTTTATAGTTCATAGTTTTGTCCTTTGTCATTGGTAGTGGAGCGTGATTGACGATTAAAATGTAGCAAAGAAAAATTAATATTAAGGCCTTTTGCAGACGTCAGACTTTCTGTGCTCCGGTTTGCCACATGATTTCAGATATAATAGTAACTACATATTTTGTAAAAATGTCCGTCCGGACGTAGACTCGAGTCTTGATGAGTCAGTTTGGATTAATAAAAGTATTTACCTGACAGTTGTTATTGCAAACAGGATCGCACAATAAGTCACCGCTGTTCACGGTTTAATATAGCTTACACAAAATTGCATTAAAACCAACAAAGCGAGCAAGTAGGTACAGTTCAGAGTTTCGAAGGCTTAGGCACATAGATGAATTTCACGCAATCATAGCAAATCGTGCGAGTTTTATTTATACGAACTTGCTACTGAAATAAGTGTTTTTTTCCAATTTGGCGAAATTCAAGTTTTAATATGATTTCATGAACTGCTGATAATGCCGTGCTCGCTTCAATTTTATTTATTTAATGATTGGATTCTATAGAGTTAAAATTGTTTCACGCTATGTTTTACAAAGCCACACAGTTTTTATTGCAAATTGTTCAAGTCTCATATCATATACCGAAAGTTTTACGATATATTTTGTAAATTAATTATTTATAAATTTCAATCACATAGTTGCAGTAAATTGAGATATCATTGCTACCTTAAAAAATGTGTGGCTATTATGTAAAAGTTTTAAATTGCAGTTTTGTGTCTTGCTTTTTGCGTAGATTTTGAAATTGTGACCAAAACTACTCTGTATTGAATAGCAAAGTGGGTGATGACTTTAAGGTTCTTTTTTGTTTGCATCAATTACCCTTATCGCTATGCTAATTACCCTTTGCTCTATTGAGAAGTGTATAATAATATTTTACCTCTTTCCCAACTATTAAATAAAAGGGATAGCAGAAAGTGAGTTATACAATGAGAATCCAAGTACGACTCAATATTGACGATATAAATTAAGAGAGTACAATCCGGTGACAAGACTAGATAACAAACACCAAAAAATTGGGATTATAAGGCGCGATTTTAGACGGCGAACAACTTTAATAAGCAAACGAATAAGATTTTTAAAGTTGTCGTATTTTACATATATTTTGACTGATATTATGACGATGATATAGTTTTATAATAAATGACGTATATACACGTTAGTCGGAGAGCAAAACGCACATATGATATGCTCTGTAGTCAACATAATTGTATGCATAAAAGTAGTTTACGTTTGATATATTTTAATTTAGGTAAAAGTCATAACATATTTGACATAATAACTTGTAGTATGTATTGTGTAGGCTTAGATATTATGTTAAGAGAGTCATATATGTTAGTTTATACCAAAATGAATGGATACATTTATATTTGTTATTTATATGAGGTTATTTTCTTATAAAAAAATCCAGTGCATGTTAGCATGTCAAACATTTCTACATTATTATTCTGAAAAGTAGAATTTTGTTTCATCAGAATTTAACTATTCTATTTGTATGTAGAAGTTGTTTAGTGATCTTCCAGTAGAATTTGTTACGGTATATTTTTGACGTTTGAAACTTGAAAGTACAGAGATTAATTATAACATTAAAGAATACACTTATGATATACCGAATACTGCAATTGCATTTAAATTTTCCATTCCAGGAGAGATTTGTTTAAAATTATATTTCTATTGTGTATCTCCATGTGACAAAATGAGTCAGTGTTTTCTTCAAATACAAATTGTACACTTCGGTGTGTTTTTACTTCCATTTACAAGAATATCATTATTCATTCATATTTTAATAGAATTTCAGTCCATTATCTGCTGTTCACAATATGTAGAACTGATCAGTCACAGTTTATTTATATGCCTACATTCAAACCATTTGTTCACATTTTATGTTCGATGCTTGCTGGCTTTTTTAAAGTCATACAAACCAAATTTATTAATATATTATGCGGCATAAAATGTAATTTTATTAAAATTTTGTTAATATTAAAGTTAAGTAAGTGGTTCATGTGTTGGAAACAATATAAACTTACATTGTTTGTTTATGACAATATTCTTTGTATTGGTATAGTCATATATTAGTTGTATTAGGTAAATATTATGGGTAAAATGTTAATTTTCGATTATGCGCTTTGCACCATACTATTTAATATATATATTTAATACGCAGACAATCATTAGGCCTGATGTAAATTTGCATGCGTATCTTATTATTCTGATTGCTTAACAATATTGGATTCATATTCTGAACAGTACAAAGTGATTCAATGAACAATTCTTTAGTCACAAATGGGAAGAAGCGATACACATAGTATTTACTTAGTACCTGCACGATGTAGGAATGTTAAAAATATTGTCTATGTGGTTATGTAGAAGGAAACTGTTGTGATTTTTATTAATATAGTCAGGTGCCATTACTGCGTATATTTTATCATATATTTGACCGCTTTATAATATTCATAATTATCATTCAGAATTAGCAACAATCATAACATAGTCGTTCACTAACAACTTAACTGCATAAATTAAGGTGACCAGACTGTTGCAGTTAAATATTGAAATGCAGTTAAGGAATTAAGTGAATCACTATACTTATTCGCTTTCACATTAAAGCAACCGGTATTGTGATAGATGTCTATTATGCCTCCATATTTATATTATTATTTTTAATAATAAAACATTTAAATATGATTGTACTTTCATTATCAACCCACTTATTTGTCAACTCATGAGGGTCGGAGCAAAGCAAGTTGTTTATTGTGAGTGTTCGCTTTTTTCGCAGATTCAAGTTGGGGAATGCGCAAATATATTTTGTTGATTAAGTATTATTTGTTCATTAAACATTTTCATATAGATACAATAAAGTATAATGATTTAGTATTGGAAACAAATATTGTAATAGCGTTGGGATTATTTTGCGAACTAAACAGTTCACACGCATGTAACCCGGTAAGTTGTTTTTTATTTGATTTGGCATGCTTGTTAAAATTTAACCTTACTGATTACGCTCAATACAGACGAATGCCCGCGACATGATTTTCGTAACTTATAACTTCAAAATTGTTCGTCTGTGTTTGGCTTTACGGATGCATCATGGAAGTTGGTGTGGGTAGTTTAATATCTTCACTGTAGCATAATCATAATATACACCGCATGTATTCGCATGTCTGTTAAGCATGAAAACACTGAATCGCACAACACGAGACCAACGACGGCAAGGTTTTTTAAAATTTAATCAAAACAATGAAAATAACTTATCGAAAGTCAACCAGTCCCCGTAGCATGAGCACTACAATTTACAGTATATCAGGTTTTTTATCGCGTCTAACTGTCAAACTCCATAGTAATTTGACAACTGAGCGTGATAAAAACACGTTTTATATCATATCGCGGTGCTCATACTGGGGGCTGGTTTGGTATTTAACTGTCGTCTTCAATATCTTAAACTCAGTGAGAGACTAGTTTGTCAGAGTATAAAGCGATTTTAACTTTATTGCCAGTCGCACCCGCGGGGATTACTACCGGAGGCAAATGGGAATAAAAATTCTCAGTCGCCAAAAATAAATGAGACTTTTTATACTTTATAAAAATTCGACTAATAGTGGGGGAGCCGAAGCCGGGATTTTGGGATTTACTCGAGCACTACAGAAAAACATAAGGGGGACAATCTTGCTCCTTGTGAAGTACTCCCATCATACCTGAGCCCTTTATATAAGGTCGAACTTAGATTATAATAAAAAGGGAAGATATGTTACGCTCATACTAGCATGAAAATAAAATATGCTCCGACTCAAGTAACTGTCACACACCCACACGTCTGTAAATAAACATTCAATCGAGCGAGCGAGACAGAACTGTACGCTAAAACGCAGCGCGAGCGAAACGGCAAGTCTGCGTCCGAGTCCGCACGGCTGAGCTGTATTGTTGTCCTTGATAACAAAATGGCGATTACGTAAATAACATTTACGACAAACCTTGATTTTTGAGAAAAAAGTGTTTTTACGGTGTTACGAATGAAAAAGCCATTTGATTTTGAACTATTTTTGTGCTTTATAAAAGCATCGAAGGCACTGTTTTGTGTTTTATCTTAATAACACAGAATATACGCAATATTGTTATATTGAGTGCACATGCAGCATGTTTGAATGTCCAATTGTGACTAAAGCGAATTGTGGTCATGCACCACAATTTAAGCGGATCATTTTTGAGCCACGAGTGCCGTATCTACCCTTTTTGTTTTAAGCTAAGGGGTCGAACGTCTAAGGCCCTATAATATTCCAGTAGCTAGCAAAGGACTGACGATTTAGATGCGATGAAATGTCATGGCCGTTTAATGATTTTTTTGCTGTCTTAGACGTTTGACCCAATATATAGGGCATAAGTATGAAGGGCGTACCTCTCAAGTTCTCATGGTGCAAGGTTGCTCCTCTTATGTCATTCTGACGCGCTCGAGTAAATCCCAATTTCTCCGCTTAGGTTTACTATAAGGAACAACTTTACGCTGGTATGGTGTCTTAAATGTAAATAATAATTATCCAAAAAGTTGGGTCAGCATATCTCTAGAAGTAAAATCCTATTAAACAAAAGTATCGAAACACTTAACCCTGCAGGCAATAAGGAATATGCATGATTTTTTTTATTTAGTAGTTTACATTCCCTTTAAACAGTATTTAAAAATAACAACGTCGAAAAAATAGTATGAAGTGTCTTAAAAAATGGTAAAATAGCCAATTTGCATGGGCAGTTTCGAAGCGCGTTGTTTTGGAACGCTTGAATGTAATGTTACGATACATTAAACCTACAAACAAGATCAATGACCTTACAAGATACTGATATTTTGCGTTCCATATCTTCACTGCAGTTGGAAGTTGGAATCTTTGTCTATCAAATACATTGTTTCATACATTTTTGATAAAAAATTTAATGTCACAGTAAAAAGTCGCACAAGGTGCCTAGGTGGAACGCGGTTTTGGCATCTACGCACTCAGACTATAATCTCGTTGACATTGGCATATCCTGTGAACATAAAGTTTTTTGCTAGGTATCTTTACGTCACAATACTCTCGTTGCGTTAATTTTTTTTAAATTTCCCACAAGTTTTTTGCACTTTTATATCATTAATTTCTTGCTCGAAAAGATTTTTTACTAACAAATATTGATGGAGAGATAACTTAAAAGTAGTTTATACAAAAATAAAAGAGGCTTATTTGAATTACATGCACATTCCCTATTGCTTTGACCGGGAACTGGTCTAGCAACTGCGTAGTGTAATAATGCAAATATATTTTGCATCTAACATAAGTAGCTGGCGATCTTTACCTTGCGGTTGGCCGGTTTTCTGATCCCTTGTTCATGAAATGCTAGTTTCTGCCTTCATTTTCTATGGGAGGGTTCATTTGTGATTTCCTTACACCCTATAATAAAGAACAATACACCTATAGCTTTTGTATATAATTAACAATAATGTGAATATCGTTTAACGACTTCTTTGTATGTTTTGAAAATATTAATAATATTCTTTAGAAAAATCGCGGCCTAATTAAACATCCATTTTAAATACTTTTTTCTGTTTATGCTTCCCTAAGCGATACTATATCATTCTTGGCTACTCTTTAATTTCTATCAAACATGGGTGTTCATTTAGTCCGTCGAAAGAATGGGTGACCGTCGGTAATATTGTATCTGTTGTAACAGGGAACAAAGCGCAGGCGCCTCCGCCGCCGCCGCTCCGGGTCCCTTTGGAGGGCTGGTCGGGCACCTCGAGCGCTTGCTAGCGAGAGAGGGGGGCCGTCGCCCCCCCCCGTCACCGCCCGCGCGCCCCCCGCTGCCCCCGCGCCCCCCTCGGCCCGCACCCCTCACCTCGCCCCAGATTCCCATCCCGCGCACGCCCTCCTTTCCGTTGCCCACGCCCTGCTCTGCCCCGCTGGCACCATCGCCAATCCGGCCGTCGTCCGCCGCCCCGAACCAGATCCCGACCTGGATCCTGGTCGCCTGCCCATAGACGACCTCACGATACCCACCGGCGAGGTCAGCGACCTCAGAGATGTCGTCGACGCTATCAACCGCCTCTGCGATACGATGAAGACGTCGTACGAGGATCCCGAAGACGACTGTGAAAACGAGGCAGTCTCCGAAAGTGTAGGATCTATGATTGGATCGGATTCTTTTGAATCCGGTCTTACCGTTCGTAGCGAAGTTCGTATGTTCAGCGACTGTGTCATTACTCCCGGCGAAGAAATCGTGTTTCGCGAAGATGTATCGGTCTCTTGGGATAACACTGTTTCCGGCGAGGCTACGGTATGCGAAGATGGGGCCGTGTTTCATGAGGCGGAAAGCTTGCCTTCGGAAGAACCGAGCGCCTTCGGAGAAGTCTTCGCCAGATGTAAACCACAGCCGAGATTGAATACGCGCGAGGACGCAGTGTCGCTTCTCGACGAACTCAATCACGACAGAACGCAGGCGGCGTCATTCTACGAGCTTGTGAGTCCCGAAGCAACATTTAGGACGATCGAGGTGATAAATCGCGGACAAAACTGGAGTGATTCGCTAGTTTCACTTCCTGTTGAGTCTTACGAACCAGTAAGCGAGATGTACTACACGGCTTCTTCCGAAGTGTCTCTGCTTTCCGATACTGAGGTTCCGTTGTGTACAGAGAAAACCGGGGATGGTTCCTTAGACAGTAAAGAATCATCGGACGAAAGAAAAGACTGCGTGATCGCTGGCCACGTGGCTGCAATGAGAGAACGTTTCGAAAGCATGACCCGAACCAACACGCCTTGCCCCGATATGATGCGGTCGACATCGCCTTCCCTCGACGTCTTCAGAAATATCACCCCTTCACCTGACCGTTTAGGGTAGTCGAAATATTAGTACTACTTAGAGTATGTATAGTCTATAAAAAGGCACTGGCGAAAACCTTAACATTTTATATATACCGTACCTCCTATGAAGTGTTCAGTATTCGTAATGCGTATTCAATGTTTGCTAGTCTTCGTGTATGACATCTTTCGACGAGATATAAACGTGCCAAGGTGGTTGACACTTAGCTAAAGGGTTGTGATATGATTTTGTAGCTTCATCATAATGTAATTTATTGAACAGGTACATATCGTAAAATATTGCCTAGTTTTAGTTGTTAATTTAGTAAGAAACTTTGCTATTGTAACATGAATATAAATGATTATTCTCTACAAAATTACCTAAGTAGTGATTGTGAAAGCTCAAGATTTGTAGTTAACGAAATAGAATTGATGAACGAGTAAACGAAGCGTTCGAAAAATCTTATTCTTATATCCCTAGTAAAAGAAAGGCTGTTCTAAGCAAATCTTCCAATAACCTATGAATCATCAACTTCGTTTCACGCGTGTGGTCTCTAGTATGCCACAAAGGGCATACATACTTAGATAGACTGTTAAACACAATATCCTCGCTGCGTTTCGCTTGCGTGCGCAGTTAGGGTAGAAAATAAAAACATGATAGGGTCATCCTTCCAGGACAGGTTCTTATGAACGGCCTCAAAACAAATCACTTGTACCTTTATTCTGACCAAGTAGAGTATTATTATAATCTACAGATTACATTTAATAACTTTGACTATATTTTAGGCTTGTAAAGGAATTTAAGGGACGCCAATTTTTATTAATTTGTATTTAGTTAAATTAGCAAGTTGTGATGTGATAATGATTTAAATGGGTTTTATTGACTTTTTCTATCACAAAAAAACAAAATATTTTTTTTTTCTTAAGACAAATATTATATTATCTAATTGTTTGCTGGTTCTGCTTTATTTTCGTTGGTGCGTCACAATCAACGTTAGGCCATATTTTAGTATCATTAAGTGTTGCCATAATTTAATGAGGTTTAATTGTTGCCAGATTAAATTTATCTGCCATATTATTGTTTCATCTAAAATTGTTTGTTGTGATTTTTTTTGCCAAAATACTTATTTGGATTTACAATTTATTCATGCAGTGATACTAGATAATCTGTTAAGCCTGTTGTATTTAATGTACTTAAATGTAAGGGTTTGGTATCATGGATAGTTTCTTATAGTTTTAGTGATAGTTGTCATGTATTATAATCGTGTTATGTGTACAGACGAGACCTTTTTATTATTGTATTGTAATAATTCAATATATGGGCTTTATTAATAAATCAAGTGTTATTCTTGAATTCATTAAATAGAGCAAAAATCTATGTTTTACCGTAACAGATTATTAATTTTCCTGTTGAGTTCCTTCACACAACAGCTCAGTGTTTCCTTATTATCACGTTCGTGAAACTTAAAACAAGTTTAAAAAAGGCCTTCCTCGACCTGGACTCGAACTCGAGCCACCCGCATAACAGGTGAGCTTTCTACCACTAAGTAACCGATGCTTGTTAATAAATAATGCAATTTTTAATTACAATCAAAACTGTAATGGGACGAATGCAATGACGTATAATATATAGACAAGTTATACGCCATCATTATTGCATTTTAAAATAGCACAAGTAGTCCCAGCCCCAACTTCCCTTGGCAACAGCCGCCGATAGAGCGCACTAAAGAAGGAAGTCTCTGTCACTCTCATGCATAAAGCAGATTACACCCCACTCTTTAGTCTCCACGTGTCAACGGTGTCAGCAACTGTTAAAATAAGTAATCACTTAATACTATTACATTAATTTCTTTAAAATTGTACTTACGAATAAAAAGAATCGTTTTCTTGTTTCTAATAGTTTACGTGAATTTGTGTACTATCTAAAACACACATAGAGCTATTTGTCTGGAAAAACGTAAAATATTTACTCGTAGCGCAGTGTAGCCGCGGCGAATGAGCGCGCCCAACTGAATGCAAGTCGGGCAATTACCTGACTTTCGTATTGCCAAACTAGAAGCGTGTATGACGTATCTGTAACTATATTCCCGAATACATCTATCGGCCCACCAAGCATTTTTAGTTTTGGCCTAAATGGTTTTGACGGTCACTAGCTAAAAAAAATATTACATTGAGCAAAAAGTTTTTACGCAGTTTTGAAGGTGATAGATTATATTAACCATCTTTTTCGTGTGTTTTTAAAAATAAGCTCAACCTTACGTTATTATATTTTTGGTACAGACTGTTGAAACTTATAAAACTAAGTGGGCCGATAAATTGTGTCCGGAAGTGTGTGAAACATCATAGTGGCTATGTAATAAAAGTTGCACTTTAAAAACTTTAGGAAAAACGTTTGCTTTGCTATACCTACCTACTCAAATTTGTACCTATAGTTAACCTGGCCGAAAGCGACGAACGCAGTGCAGCTCGGCCCTCATATCTCTTCAGGAACCTTAGCTCGAGTAGTGAAAGACGAATGTTCAATATCTTTGGTTCCAGTATAGTTCCAATAATTTCTCTCCTAGTATGACTTGCGCAAAGGGTTACCATCTGACCGGATAAAGCTGGTCTAGACCGGATTTTTACGTGTTAGACCGGATTCCGCCCGGATTTTATGTCAGACGACGGGTGCCGCAAGATTTGTCAATATTTCGTTAGGATTTTGCCACACAACGCAAATGTGGCGAGTCTCTTCTCTCATGACTCCTCAGTGGACCAAAGAGAGAAACAGACTTTCAGTGGAGCTAGTGAGAGCCATATTGCTTACGCAATATAACTATAAACACGTGACGTGTGAACAATTTTTTAATTGCGAAATAGCTGGAAAAAACAACTTTGCATGCGGTTGCTAGCAACCAAAAATATGGGTCTAAATAATTTAAGTAAAAAAAACGTACATATATTTATGTAGTATTATATGATTTTTATTTAATACAGGTGCGAGTCAAGGCCACGAAAGTCGATATGTAAAATACTCGATCAAATATTTCTTTTTAAATTATCAATTTCCGTAGATATTTTACCATATGCTTAACGACATCTTTTATAACACAACATCAGAAAACGTTTGCGGAGTAATCAAATATGTTCTTGTTCACGCTACAAAGCATCTACTTTATATAGTTACTTCCTGAAAGCTTAGCTAGTGTAAAGCATGGCCAACGAGAAGCGATACAAAAGTTCATTCACCTTTAACGAGACTGGGGCTGATAGTCTAATAATTATCTCCTTCATCTCATATAAATGACATAAAAAGAGGATATTTTCATTTCTGTTGTGTACTTCTGTAGTTTTTAAGGAATTGCAAATGCGTTATGATTCTCGTACTATTTTAACGCACGCATTTTCTCAAAATTACTATTATGGCGCCGGACTGAAGACTTACCTATCTAAAATATATATAACAGCCGCACAGCCCGTTGCGTCTAGAGAATCCAAATTTGGCACGTTTGTTCGTAAGGACTTTTCAAAATTTGATTTTGAAGGCCTTTTTAAGATTGACGACCTCCGAAGATTGGTGGAGTGGTTTGTACGGGTTTTATGGTGTAGCCGACTCGAGAGGTCCCGGGTTCGAATCCCGGTGGGGGCAGATGTTTGTGTGATGAATACGAGCATTTGTACTCCAGTCATGGATGTTTCATATGTGTTTCTATATAAATATACTTCTATTTGTATCAGTACATGTATTCAACCGTTACTCTTGTATCCCATAACACAAGCCTACAGTGCTTACTTTGGGGCTAGGCTAATTGGTGTGTTGGAAATATTTATTTATTTAATTCACGATTAATTTCTTTAGACACCTACCAATAAAATATTCAGTTAATCATCTAATGGAAAATATCAGAACTTATTGGTTCACATTAGATAAGCTTACAAGCAGTTTTCCTATAATTACTTAGTGTTAATGATGCCTCCTGTTCTTCTTAATCGCCTCAATTGATTATTTTCTGAGAGCAAACCCTTATACATCTCCTCATTGTATTCGATCCATAGCTGGAACCATGGATCTAAAAATACCCATGTCATAAAATTCTTTCATTAGGACCAGGGGGCTATTCGCCTTACGGAAATGCTTTGGAAAACGCTAACGCTTACGATTTTATTTTGTTATTTCTAGCCGCCTGAGGTTTTCAAATGCCTCGCGCTCTTTTTTTTTTCTTTTGCATTGGTAATAACAATATTAAAAAAAATGAGCGTGAGGTATTTGAAAACCTTCGGCGGTCAGAAATAACAAAATAAAATCGAAAGCGTCAGCGTTTTCCATAGCATTTCCGTTAGGCGAATGGCCCCCAGGTACAAAGGAACCTTTGAAATATTGGTTTTGAATAAAATTACTATCTTTCCACTGTCGTTTCAATACCAGGCTCTGCAGAAGATTTCTTCAAAGCGAGTTTGCGGTCACACTGTGGTTGATTTAGATAATGAATACTTACCGTTTTTACCCCGAGTTACGCATGTGAAGAAAGTGAATTATACCTAGTCCGTCAGATTATCCAAAAATAATGGTCACGTATTTTTTCTCCGGTCAATCCACCAATTAATGACAAAGATATAGCGCGTCAAAGTTTGGGAGTGGGGGTTCGTGTCGTCACTATTTAGTAAAAATTTTAGGAAAACGTAACGTCATCGGAGACATTTCCAATCAGTGCCATCTTTGAGCTATTGGAGGCCCTGGGCATATTAGGATAATGGAGCCCCTATGACCCCCGTTTGGTGATTTAACAGGTACTAGGGACTTTGTATTTGATCTGAGGGGAGCCCCCTATCGATCACGGGGCCATGGGCACTTGCCCAAAGTGCCCACTGGGAAAGAGAGGTCTGTTCTCTGTAATGTTTTGATTATGTGATTAAAGGGAGAATACGTGTCCAATACTTTTTGATAATCTACTCGAAAGACAAGGAAAAACAAAAAGTTTGCCGTCATCCCTATTGATAATAAATCAACTTTTTATACCTTTATTTTAACGCGCTGATTGTCATAACTTTCTAGTTCTTCAGAATAAAGGGCAGCGTCATGTTTCCAAGACAGTTTCAGAAACTGCTGTTTGTTGATAGAGTTACTATTTGCGTAAGAAAGTCAGCAGACGTTGCATACTGATTTTAATATCTCTTATTCTATCGTAAAAATGGGCAGTTTTTATAATCTTGAAACAATTATTTCTTACAGATTTAATGAAAAGCCCGTGAGTGGTAGAAAACTTTTATTTTTATAGCCAATCAACAGATAATAAATATGTTATGTATGGGTCAGAAGTGGGCGAAGTATGATAAATGTCCAAAAGCTAAGTTGACAGTGGAATTCATTATACTCAAAATTATAAAAACAAAACACACTTAGTACTTACTTTATTAAAATTATTTCAACCTCACTACAGGCTATTATTTATTTACAACCAACGGACCTTCAGTATTAGAATGAAGTAATTCTGTTCACATACAGAAAGTTGTATACACATGACATGCCACAAGTATAACGTCATGGAGCACATTGACAAGGATGAGAAATTAAAAGCGAGCTTTCCATATTCATAGCATTTAATCAGTAAAATAGTCAAAATTCTACAAGAGTAGGCAAACGTCACAACTTCACGTGGAAATGGCTTAAGAAAAATAATTTCCAAGGCAATGAGTAACATTAAAAGTTTTATTATTCATTTACTTTTTAATTATCCTTACGCACATATCGAAACACCAGAAAACAAGAATCGCACGAACACTACATACTGAAATCTGCCGACAGTCTATCGAAACGAACGCGTGAGCCGTGAGTAAGGGTGCGAGTGATACGATTGCGCTAACACGCGGGGGCCAGGGCCAGGGCCAGACGGACAGGGGGCCGGTAATCCAACAACGCTCGTTGTGACGGGTGTCGCCTGCTCGCGCAGGGAACTGCCGGCCCAACCGCGCGGCCGACGCTCGCGGTCGCGGGCGACTCGCGTCACCTGTCCGCGCCGATAACCCGCGCCACCGCGACCCGCCTTACCTGCCGCCGCGCGCCGACCCGGTTAGTGTCCGTCACCGTCAACGCGTTAGAGCAACGAGCAACGTGGGCACGGGTGAAGCGAGATAGGTAACTCGACGCGTGCCTACCTTCACCTTCGCTCGGTTCTGTTCGGGGCGGTTATCGGTAGCGGGGCTGCATGACGCCCAGGCCGGGCACGCCGCCCGGGAACATGGCGCCCATCTGCATCATCCCGCCCGGCAGCAGCATGCCTGCACACATATATAGCGGTCACGCGCCGTCCCCGCGCCACACGGCACGCAACAGGGGACCGCGACGGTCCAACACACGGCCAGGCCGGTGTGACTGCTGAACAATCGCCTGTCACCCGGACCGAGCCCCGCCCTACACCGGTGCGTACATGTGCCCGAATCCAATCCAAACGCTAATCAATTGTTCGAAGGAGCGTGTCATTTTTTTCATAATGAATTCGCTGGTTTTTAAACGACTTCAAAAAAGGAGGAGGTTTTGTGTTCGACTGTATATTTTTTTACGAGTGTGTACGCTACCACAATTTACGCTCTATGATAGATAATCTTGCGTTCGTACTGATAAACATTTACTTACATAATAGGTTTAAATTTCAAATAAAATTAGGTTGACATGTAAAATTTGCGTTTGGCACGTTTCTTCGTGGATAAAGATGTGTTCGGTTTTAGAATAAGAAATTTTCTAGGTTAACATGTCATTGTTCCAAAATAAGTTGAACGATCTGTTACTAAATGTCACTGTTTTTCAGTACGAACGCACGGTTCAGAAGCTGCAATAGATACGGTACGGGAGCACGGTTGTTGTTTAAGTTCAGGGCGTGTCTGCTAACAGTCGGCCGGTCGTCGATGGCAGCGAGCGGTCACATGTATGCACTGAGGTGTGGCGACTCATTTTAAAGGTGCAGTATAAGCAAAGGAACACAGGTAGGTAGGATAAATAATTCACATGAAAAAATCACACTTCCAAAATACTCGGCGTATATGTAAACGTATCCGTATAGTATTTCATGCATGTTTCAGTGTGATCCGAGATGGTTGCTCGAAGAATCCAATTCAGCCAACGACTATATTAACTCTTCGTTTCATGCACATTGTAAAGCGACCAAACTACTGTACGTAAATATATATAATATATATTAGTGTACCCACCCGTCAAAATCGACAAAAAAGTCACATTTTTTATAATGACACTACGAGAAAAACGAGACAGTAATAAGATAAGAGCTACTACAATAAGCAAATCCATTAAGGAATGTGAATAAAATTACCGCTCATTTTTCATTCCGTCCCTCCGATAGTGCGGATGGCACATCAAAATCACAGTTTTAACTCTTGACAGTGTTTTGTCTACGGTCGAATCTTAATGGGGGTAGGTAGAGGGGGGTGAGAATTCGCCCGGCGTGTTAGTGGGGTGTTAGGGAGTGTGAGTATCGGACAAGCCTGTTACGTGTTCACGTTAACGGAAACATAGAGAGATAGATATGTACGCAGTCGGCGGCGGCCGTGACTTAATTAATACACAAATTGCACCCACCGGGCGACAACCACAGCAGACTCGAAAGCCAAGCACTCGCATTCTTGTGCTGCCTTCGACACTAGCCAATTAAGTCGAGAGCTCGTCCGCGCTCTTAAAACACAATCCATCACTGTTCACATTACATACATTAAGAGTATCATCTATATAATTAAGGTTATAAAGCTATCGGTCTGTGTCCGTATCGGGATCGGCAGTCGTGGAAAATAGAAAGGAACAAACAGTGATCTAATTATGATTTATTCAGAAACAAATACTCCATTTTCCACGCGTATTTAATTGACATGTCATATAGGTAAACACAAAGTATGAAAATCCTTTAGAAATCAAATGCTGGTTAAGGCCCAGTTAACCAATCAATACCAAAATGCTTTTACTTATAATAAGAAAAAAAAAACGTATCAAATCATTTAAATGCGAGTAATAATACTGATCATTTTTTACAACTACATATCAACATTTTTCATAAGTACAAGTATTTGTAGGTTTTTAGGAACATTTCAATTATAATTTGACCAACAGATTTTTGTTTTTCAAAAAATGATGTGTAAAATTATTTAGCCGAGTTTATCATATTTTTTTATAAACAACCAAATTTATTAGGACCAAATCGACATCAAAAATACAATTAATATTATTACAGTGAAAAATACTATACAATTAAGTATTGTGCAATTATTTTAAGGTTGCTTGTGCAACATGATACTTTGGTATAATTATTACAATCCTAATACATTTACTATTATAAAGTCACCTTTGAAACTACATAACACTGTTAAATTAGGTATTTTTTTTGACTTATACATCAAGATATAAAAAATTAACCTGAAATTTTGTTTGGATTCCGATCCTCTTAACAAACATGTAACTTCACAATATACCTAGTTAATATTTAATATTCGTAATCATAACGGATCAAGAGTATTTGTGAATCGCAAATTTTGCAAACAGTAAACAATGAATCGAAACTTTACTGACAAATGCTCATGTGACGAAATTGGTTTATGGCTTGCTAATTGATGTTAGTATTGTTTTTATTTCAAACCCAAATCTACTTGTTCGTGGGAATCAATAACTTGATAGCGATGGAAACTACACAAAAATGTGGCTAAAATTATTATAAAAACGCTAGTTTAAACATGAAAAGTTACTCAATCTACATTTTATTTCGAAGTCTTTATCAAACTACCGTCATTTATTATGTTCTAAGTTAAGAAACGTGATTCGACTACACTTTTTATATCTGAGTCATCTTATTACCAAAGAGCAAACCACAAACAAATCACTGCTACCAAAAAGACTCCGCGTCATTACTACCCCTTAGCGATTCATTCGCGATTCACTGTCAGACATTCCCCTTAATCACTTCTATTAAAAAAAAACACAATAAAGTTCTTGAGCATCAACCATGCCTTCGTAGTAGCAATTTTACATACAGTGCGATAAAGATTTTTACGAGTGCGAGTGACAGTTCAGGGATAGCGCCACTGTCTATGTAAATGTGACAAACACAGCATGATGTTAACAAAGACTTCCCCGTTAGTTTCAATTTTCGCCACATTCAAGAAGAACCTTGCATAGAGGTATAAGAATAGAGTAGGGGAGATATAGCCTCTACTACAAGTGGAAGTGCCCCTCTAATAGAAAGAGAAAGAAGATGACTGACCGCTAGCTTTCTCTCTTTAATCGCGCATGCGCATTGGCAACAGTAAGCATCTTACCATTTCGATGTGATGCCATTGGATGCCATGCGTCACAAGAGATATAGCTAGCGGTCTCTCATCTCCTTTCTCTTTCTACTAGACGGACATTTTAGAGCCGCCTTCCCCACTCTATTCTTATACCTCTATGGAGCCTTGTCGCAATATACATATATACTTTACTACTGCGCAAGTTTATCCGTGGTTTAGCTCAAGAAGTTCGCATCTACCTACACCCTAAACACTCGCGATCACCGCTCCCCCCCTTAGTTCAACGGTACTCGTAGGTCGCGTAATACTGACCGGGCTGTATGGGGCGCATGAGGTTGAACTGCGGCATGACGGGCAGCACGCCCATGACGGGCGGCATGGAGACGGGCACGCCGACTCGCATAGGCTGCGGCAGCATCATGGGCTGCATGAGGGGCCGCCGCATGGCCGCCGCCGCCTGTTGCCGCGCCGCCGCCACTGCCGCGTTCATATGTGCCGCCACCTGCGCATGTGCCACATGTCGCTACCACTACTGCGTGCTGCCGCTAACCGATACACTACCCGAAACCCGGCTGAACGCTACTCGGACTGAGGGCGGTAAACTGAGCTGCTCCCGTAGATGTCAAAAGGTACGACCTCGGAATGTGAGGCCAGTAGATGTGAAAAGATGAGACCTCGGAATGTGAGGCCCGTAAGATGTGAAAAATAGGCTAGTTGACTCATATCAAATTGTACTATACAAATGTTTATTTCTTATAATTTTTGGTATGAGGAACCTAAATATATCGATTTCATTTCATAGAAGTAGAAGATGGCTGTATTGTGCATGTGTAGGTAAGTTTATTTCTCTAGTCAATTTAAACCACAGCTTTTCTGGAGTCTAACGATGTGTTTCTGCATTTTCGTATAATCTTGATAATTACTATATTTTTCATGTAATCTATTAGGGATCATGGTTTTATAATAGAAAATATTTCCTACGTGCTTGCGAGTATTTGTTTACAAATGTTTTGATCATAGCATAGATAAATCTATAGACTAAAATGGCCGACAGCGTTATTTTGTGTCAATGAAAAATCTATTTCAAAATTAAAGTTTTGTAGCTTTCTAGGTCAAAAATAAATAAATTTTTTTTTGGTCTAATAGAACAATTATTAACCATTTAAAACAAATATTTCCAAAGTGTCAACGAGCCTATTGCAACTTTTGAATGCGAGGTATAATAGGAAGCGGCGAACTTCTAGAGCAGAACTACAGACAAATGAACTTGCGCAGTAGACTGTTTTGTATGTAGAATTGCTACTGCGCAGGCTTCCTTGTGTAGGGTGGTGCTCATGAAGTTTGCCGGGGCGCATAACAAGCTGAGGATTTTCAAATTCAGCTTGTTAACTCACAATCCGAGGTGAAAATCTTATTTGACTGGACTATTTATATATTTAGAAAGTATAATTTCTAAACTACTGAACCGATTTCTAAAATACTACATTGTGCCTCACTAACATACTAATATACTTTCGGACAGATCAATCGGCCCAATTAGTGTTATAAATTTCAACGGTCTGTAGCAAAAATATATGTTTATAGTTAAACTATAATTTTAAAAACACAGGAATATATTGTTTACAAATCAGCTTCAAAACAGCGTAGGTAATAAGTTTTACCTCATTGTAATATTTATTTTTAGCTTGGGACTGTCAAAAATTATAATGCTAGATGGGCTGATAGATGTGTCCGACAGTGTATTATAAATTGGAAAGTATGTCTGTCTGTCTGTTACCGCTTACACCGCTGATCCTATTAAGAGGCAATTAAATTTTTGAAAATGCATGCAACTTTTTTAATTCTAAATATCTTATTATCCAGAATTTTCAAATATCTGAATTTGATATCAACCTTAACATGGATATTGTAGGAAAAAAATAAAAATGGAAACAATATATATTATACAACAAACTACAGGAGCAGCCACTTGCGTGCTCATTCCGTCTCGCTCTAGTTCACTAATAAATGGTTTAATAATAAAATATAGTTAAAGTAAGACGTAAGACGAACATAGACGCAATGATAGTATATCACGGAAGACCATTGGGTGACTAATCAACATCAGAAAGATTTGTTTGCAATGTCGGAGTTCGATAGCGCAGAATTTAAGGCGCGGGACACAGAAGACTTGAGACGTAGACGGGGCTCGAACTTATGTCTCTTCCGTGTCCTTTTCATACAAAACGTATAAAGCGTTGCGTCGCAAAACATATAAAAATTACAGGGCGCGGACACGGCAGAAGCGTTTGTTTGAAACAGACAATTTCTTACGTCCTTTTTATGTCCCGCGCCTAATGCGTTTGATCTTTAACGGTAAAAATTGAGTAACATTCACAGTGGTCGGTGACCAAAAATTTCTTATGTTGAGCTCCACCGTGCATTGGAACGCACGTTAAGCTATTGGTCCCAGCTGCTTCGACAATCGTTAGTACCCAAAAATCTGTACTGGACGCGCGTGGACAGACCTTTGTGCCAGAAGTAGAGACATAATATCTTGGTGATAAAGATGCACTGTGCTATGCTCTATTTATACAACTCGCTTCTCTTAGATTATAATGAGGAAACAAGCAATAAGTACTACGCTGCACTTTGTGTGTCAATTTTTTGTTTCTAGAGCGGTTGTTGAAAGAATTCGTCCATGAGAGTAGTAGTGTCAGTTCCTTAGGGTATTCAAAAATAAATAAATACATTTCGGTCTAGCAAAATAGGAGTCGATAATATAAGCTTTATTTTAATGAACTTAAGGAATCGATACAGCCTGTCAAGAGCCCATTATTTCAGTGACCGTACTTTAACATGAGCACAGCGCAGCATAGTTCAATGTTGACTGGTCACCCTATAGTGAAAAGTGAGGAGAGAAGTTAAACTCTGATAAAATTGTCAGTCTAAAGTGTACACCATTGCAATATTCGTCTTTAAGATTGCGAAACGGAATAGCACATTTACAGCCTAAGTAAACAGAAAAAAAAACAATTTTATTGACCGCCGTCCGCGAACATGTGTCACATATAATTACCGATTGCGACATGTACGCCGCCACCTGTAAACGTTACAATAAGCACCATTTAACTTTGCGTCTGAAGTTAGTCTAGCATACTATAAGGCACCTCACACACTGAGCGATCACGACTCTGATTAGTGGCTTAGGAGATAATGAAAACGCTGAAAACCAAATCCAAACCACAACCACAAGTGTAGACTTTACGTTAAGGATGTTGTGTATTATATCGCATTGATTTAAGAGTTCGCAGTTTTATATTTCGTTTTGTCGATTTTCAAAATGAAGCTGCTTTTATGTAATTGTAATCAGTTATACAACACGAGTTCTAAAAATTGGTATAAAAACTACCAAAGCGGCTGAATTGAATGTCAGTAAGGCTAAATTTCATTTAGCTGTAATGTTTTCGGGCTAATCGTCGAACTGGTCTTCAAAACGGCTCTTCCCCGCTAGCATGAGCACCGCGATATGATATATAACGCGTTTTTGTCTTGCTCAATTGTCAAATGCAGATTTATAGAGCTAAGGATTCCATAAAATACAGTGGTCAAATTTTTGTTCTACGACAAATATTGACGAAGATATGACCAAATTACCAAACGAATTTTCGGCTAGCCGCGTGGTGCCTGTAACGACACAGAGATCTAGCGCTAGGGCGCGAGCGTTCGTAGAGACATTAAAAAAATACCTAATACTGGCTTCTCTTATTGTTTTCAAAAAAACTATAGCTTACGAAATAACGTAACGTTTGCAGCTGTGGTTATCGTCTAAATTAGCACGGTAGGTCGCGATGAATAAATGCGACCAAAGAAAGTAGTCTAGTGTGCAAGTTTCCTTCTTATAGGGGAAAGCAGGATTTGGGTAAAACAACACACAGCAAGCTATCTTCTGAGCAGCAAATTCAAATGATGCATACTGTACTTATACTGAATTCGGTTTTTTGCTTTGTTCTAAACTAAACTATTTGGAAAATAGTTTTTTTTAATGTGCCTTTACATAATGATTATGTTAACTGACATGTTCATTATTGGACTTGAATCAAAGTGCAGTATAGCATATATATTTATAAGTCAATGACAAAATTTCGAAGCTATTGTACTTAATGATTATTGAGAATATACTTGTTACTTATGTAGAGCAAGTTCTTGTGGATATTTAAGAAAATTATTCATATAAACTAGTTCAATTTGTTTGGAGTGTCTATAAGAATAACCAGTAGAAATTTCAGTAGAAGACTTCATGTAGATTGACCATTATACAGATTTAAAAGACAGCATATTAAAATAATAATGTACAAGTTAAGTACTGAATCAGCAAAGTTACTTAGCTGGATGATATAAAGTAAAGAATACATTAGTGAGACCAAAAATATCTACTAATTATTTGAAAGGTAATCAAACTAAATCATGGAATAGATCAGGAATAACATTTATTATACATGGCATTCAATGTTTTGCTGCTAAGCAATTCCAATATTTTTATGTTCACCCAATTTAGTATTAGAAGAGAATTAGAATTTATTAATATGTCAAATTAGTAGTAGATAAAGGAATTTCAAAACAACATGTTTAGCAAACATCTTCATATTACAATTTGGTTAGTACAATAGGAGAAAGATTATTCAGTTACAATAGGTTTGAAGGGTTTGAGGGGCCACTTACACCAAAGTTCCACCAAATAATGTTTGATAACTTCTATTTTAATTGACTTCAAAACATTTTAAACTGAATTTAGCATGTTTGATATATTATTATCATCGATGCAAGTGGCTCTAAATGAGGATTTTTTGAAAATGATGGGCGCCAGGTGGCAGCACTGAGATAAAAGGTCTACTCATCCGTCAAATCACTTATGTCGTAGTCTATGGATCAATTTAAATGCTTGTTCGATTATTTCGCGCCAAAAACTTCATACATAAGACCTCATGCCACAGTGGCGCAAACTGGCGACGTAAATTTTCCTAAACACCCTCATTACTTTCACACACACATATAAAATTATGAATTCGTGACTCACCTCAGCCTGGCTAGTGCTTGGTGTGATTATAGGTTGCGATGGCGCTGGCTGAGGCGTAGGCGCGTCTGGTTTGGGCTTCGGTCTATACTTGGCAGTGCGGGCACGGATTTCCTCTAACGAAACGTCTTCTGGAGGATGCACTATCTTTGACCCGGCACCAGTGGCCGTCACCAAAGGACATGAATTAGCCGCTGGGGGCTTCACGTCACCGTTCTCTTTAGGTTCCATACTACTCGACGTTGAGGTCGTCGGAGGCGCGCTTATCGTCGCGTTGCTGTTGAACAAATGGTTTATATTGGCCAAAGTTGAAGGTAGACAACTGTAGGGGAACGTACCCACACTACGTGACCCACTACTTTTTTTTATCCCCCTCTCCCCCTCCGTGACTACCCGTAATATACACCAAGAATCCCTTCCCCCTCTTATTTTCACATAGTACTTCATAAATAAGGTTTTAAATATTTTTTTTGCACACAGAAAGTAAAGAAAACGAATGTATTTGGCCATTTTTTGTATTTTATTTTGGTCCTTGCTGTGACGCCAACAGCGTGCATTACCTATTACATATACAAGCAAAAAATATTATCAAGTGGAAAATTTCTTTAAAGGATTATTGACCAAGTGACAAAAACCAAAAACCCACCATACCATGGTATTCTGAAGCGGCTAGACCTACTCTTATAACGTTTTGTGTGTATATTCAGTAGGCCCGAGAATAGGACGTAAACTATTGTTCATACTCCAAGTGATAAGAGTGGTCTATCCTAAAAATGTAGTATTTTTTCATGATTTGGTATAAAAAAATACATACAATTCTAAATTTTCACCCTTCCAATCCAATCCCTATTTTTATAGCTGTACAGTTTGCAGGGTCAGCTAGTTATTATGTAAAAAAAAACATAAATCTTTTTTTACTCACCTATATGCAGGGAAAGTCGGTTTACTAGGTTGTGATGAGGGTATACTTGCAGCAGGAAACAGTGGTCGCATACCAGGCATCATCATCCTATGATAAAAAAATAAATAAATGCCAATAGTAATTCAACTTGTATTTTTATTGTAATTAATCATTTAGGTTACTTACCTTGGTGCTTGCATGAAAGGTGGCATCATGGGATTCATACCCATGTGCCCTGGGTACATCCCTGGGGGCACGGGTCCCATTGGTGTAGGCAAAATGCCTTGACTCACATTTGAAGGGCCCGGTCCCAGCTGTTGACAATATGATATTGTTATAATCATAACAAAAGATTTAAGATATTGTAAAACCAACAAACAAAAATGTAGGTATGTAGGTTTTTGGTAAAACAGATTAATGATTATATTGAAAACTGTATTAAAAAATATATTCATAAATATCTACATGTTTCAAATCTTTTCCAGTATATTTATAAAAGTATTAATACACATTTTTAACCTGTTAAAGTGTTCTATTAGTGAGTAGTGCATGTGCAAACATAAATAAATAGATTAATGATTACATACCAATGCAGGAGTAGCTTTTTTCTTTGCAGCTGGTTCATCATCATCACTGTCTGAACCTTTACCACCACCTAAACAAATTAAAAAATAAGTAAGAAGCTGTTTTTCAAATTCAGAGAGCTTTTTATTTACACTAATCACTGTACTACACATTAAATAACAGCTAAGCTATTGATTAGTGTAGGAAAATATGGTTTTGTACATACAGTTCGTCCAAACAGTGGGAACTAAAATCCTAAATAAAAGCTTATACCTGATTTTTGCTTTTCATGCTCTCTTATATCTTCAGGAGGGATACCTTCCATACCATAGATTTCTATTTCTATATTCGACCTATTTGGTAATGAGTTTGGTACTTTGTCTATGGCGTCTTTGTGTACCTGCAAAATGCAAAAATAAACATTTAGATACCTACATAAAGTAACTAATATTATAAGTTAAAAAAAATGCACTTTATAATTTATTACAAACTTGAAGTGGATGGTAAATGACGTAGTACTATAATAGTTGCAGAATCGGACGCGCCAAAAAATCTAAAGATATAACTACTCGCCGCGTGTTCTGAATGTGGGCGGGCGGGGCGCTTGCCAAATCGGTGAAGCTGACGTACCTGCATGCAGTGTATTGACAACCCTGGGCCAGTATATAATTTCTTGTGGCAGATGTGACATTTGAAATGTTTCGCTTTCTGATGTTGAATCAATATCTTCTCGTCGTCGAATTCTCTGTTGCAGTACCTGATTAGTGACGCTGAGGAAAATTATTGTTCGGAACAGGTCCAGAAAATGTACCTATACTTAAAAGAACCCTTTGATAAATCATGGAAATTCTGTCGACCCAATTTCGAAGGTCAAATTGTTTCGCAATGCGTTGTAACCGTATTGGAAAAGGATACCAGCACCAAGGTTTCGATGCCTTCTTCTTCTTTCTGCCCATTTTTGTGGCTACTTAATGCAAAAACAAACACAAAATCAACACAACACTGACAATAGTTTTATGTTACTTTAGGGACATACGTTTAAAACAGGCACGATATCACTATTTTATAAAATAAACTTCGCACAAGCAACAAATTCTTCATGAGAACGCAAACGATGCAATGCAAAATGGCGACGCGACGCGAAGTTGCCCGATGCAATTTTACGATTACCCCAAACAGATTTTCACATTTCCCCAATATTATGGGTTCTCTAAATGAAAACCACTTTAACCCTTAACACGCGCATGTACCTCCGCCATTATTGGTTATTTGAAAGCCCATTTAAAAAAACCATTTAATTTCAATTAAAGAAAAGCTTGATACCACAAATATGACTATAAAAAAAGCCAATTTTGCTCCCCAAAAGGGCCATTAGTTGCGCTACCTAAAGGGTATAAAAGTCTAAATACAGGTTCAATGGGGGTTACTATGTATGTTTGTTTTAATCTATAACGTGAAAACAATAAAAAATATTTCTTAAATTGTGGTATTTTTAAGAAGTCATAAAATTTTGTTTTTAAATAAAATACAAGTTATTATGAATAAAAATCTTCCAATTCATCCATACCCAGATTTTTGCCCTCCGAAAATCTACCCAAAAATATTTCTCCCCCATCGCTATAAAAACTCCCAAATTTAGAGGGAATCCCCCCAGTTTGACAAAAGTGTCACAGACAAAGAGAAACTCTTTGTTCTTCACCACAGATTTATAAGATAGTAATGACTATGACTAGGTTATGTTCCAAACCTACGCCCCGGGTCGAACAAATCGCACCCTCGCTCGCCTCGGTGCAACAAAGTCACAACAGCCGGCCTTTTAACTTTTTTGATATTTTCTGTGTGCTACAAAAGAGAAAATTGCATATCCATCAATGCTTTTCCGAACAAGTATAATAATGGCATTATGATAAAGCCGTAGTGGATCACTAAATAGCTCGGTGATTATTAGCTAATCTTTTTTTTTATTGCCACCGCAAAGAGCCTGTATTTGCCAGTTAGATACATAGATAGCAATTGTAATTTAATCCCATACCAATATTTATAATTTTAAATTGTTATTAGAAACAAACGGTCGACTGTTCCTTCGTCTATCCTCTATCCCGCATTGACAAAAATAATTTAAAAAATAACTCTAATCTTGGCCAAGTGAACTGGGGTGCAACCATAGCATAACTGAAGGCGACATAATATTGAAATTTTTGTTTTGGGGAGCTCCATAAGTTCAAAATACCACGATCTGTATGATGCATGGCTCGTAGTATAGTACTGTTTTCTCGTATTGATCCTTTTTATTCGCCAATCTTTATTCTATGACTGAGTCTTGGCTCGTACGTTTTCTTTCGGGGATTTACGGGTAACTGGGTATCCATTGGAGATTGCGAGTTTTGCGCAAGAATCTGCAACTTCGTTATCTGCTATGCCACTGTGGGACCTAAGCTAGAAATACCTGAATACCTTTAATGTTGCATCTTACCAAGGTCTCTCTTATTTTAAAAACTGAGCGTGTGCGAATGTGAAGTACCTATAGAACGAAACGAATCTTTTGTAGCCAGTTTTGAGAGTCAGAAAAGACGATCGATTTTTCAAGGTTATTGGTGGTTGGGTTTGGGATTCTATAAAGGCCCATCTGGAACCTACATGGTTCCAGATTGGCCATCATTTCCCCAGAAAATACAGTGGAGACTTACGGGAGTTTGAAGTTAAGAATTATTTTATACTTTGGGACCTATACTACACCGCCCGATGTGTCCATTGTCCACAAGTCAATCTTTTATAGCCAGTTTTGACAGTCAGAAAAGACTTTTTATAAACTTTATAGAATCCCAACCACCAATAACCTTGAAATATCGATCGTCTTTTCTGACTGTATTATAGTATAAAGAATGTAGGTAGGTTCCAGATTGGCCATCATTTCCCCAGTAAATACAGTGGAGGCTTACGGGAGTTTGAAGTTAAGAATTATTTTATACTTTGGGACCTACACTACACCGCCCGATGTGTCATTTGTCCACAAGTCAACATGGTCTAGACGCGTCTGTATAAGTTATTGGAGGAAATCCGTGCTAGTTTTGATTATGGATTATTCGTTTGGATTAGGATTTTCATAAATTCTCGTGGGGCAACCGGGGAGTTCTTTTGGATTCCATAATCAAAGAGAATGTCTGAATGGTAAACTAGGGAATCGAAGCTATTTGGATAGAGAAGATTGGAAATGAAGTTCTACATTTGGCGACTCGCCGTTTGGCTTGCCGTTAAACAGTTCCAGTACGTTAGGATCAGCTACGGCTTGGCGACGCCGTTCTTAGGTCTCACCGAACACTCTGTCTTGACGGCTAGGCGGCAACAGGTCGATCAGTCATCTCACAACGGAGTGGTTACTCCGTTGTGAGGTGACTGATCGAACAGTCGGCAATCGAAAGGTTGTAGGGGCGTGAACGAAGCTAGGCTACAGAGACGTAAAAGCTGCTTGTTACGGAGAGAAGATCACGCACGTTCGGGAGCTTTTCCGGAGGCGTGGCGATTACGTTACGATTCAGATTACTGGGCATTGCAGTAAGGAGTTTCATACAAACAATACTGAGCGGCTCGAATTGACACGGTGACCATCCCTTTCCGAGTTGATATGTCTGATGCGATCATAAATCTCCCAAAATAAGGATGGGAAGAGGAAGCAGATTCGGCGTAAGGCGTGGGCGACGTGGGCCTCGCGGTACAAGGGGCCTCGCGCCTCAAATTTTTTTATGCGTTGCTTAAAAGCGATTTTTTTTATTATTTTATAAAATCCGTCTTCGGGTCGCCACAGAACAGGGCCTCGCGAAATCTGTCTTGTACACATCAAATTTAGGTCTTGCCCCGCCACTGAGAGGAAGGGATCTAATAATAATTGTTTTCATCTCACCCATTACTGGGTTCTCCACTGGGTTTGGGTGGGGAATATATTCTAAAAGAAAAGAGATATTAAGAAATCACAGAGCGACTACATTTATATGTATGCTATATTGGATATGCATAGGTAGGGTACAAAAACAGGGCGCGGTCAGGAGGTGTTGCCGTGTTACTCTATCTATAGAGTACTTACACAAATTCCTGTATCAAAAATTGAGAGGCAATAAACTCGAGAGGCTTATGTGGGCTTACAAATAAAGAAGATTTATCTAACGCACCAGGGCTGGCAAGCATGTTATTTGAATTCGTCAGTTGATATATAAGATTATAAACATAAGTTGGCTTTGCGTCATAGACTAAATTATGATGATAATAAGCCTCAGTGACAAACATTACTTAGCATATTTCATGGTTATACATAACTAACTTCAGTGTAATTTTAAAACTCCTGTGGGGTTGGCAGCACAGAAGAGAAAAAAGAGCACTTCTTTGAAGCAGAATTCACAAATATCAATTATTAAACCCAACTCGAATTTTTCCAACATTTTAAATGCCTCGACCTAAAAATCGCGATCAACAAGCAATTATTCCAATCAAATAACCGTTAAATCCTATGCAGAGGCTGTACTCTTTATGCTAGCACTTCATATGACTATTCATATTTTCTGCTGTAAACTTTAGAGCAGTTTGTCTTTATCATGTTCTATAAGAAATAGGAAGTGTTAGCATAAGAATAGGTACAGGCGCAGAATATCAACAACATGCTTATCGTTTGAACCATATATCAAAGAAATCGCCTAAGAGGCGGCCAGCATCTTCACCTGGGTAATCCGCCGCCACACCGAGTATACAGCTCGCTGTATGCTAGGCTAGATAACAGATGACGAAGAATATCCCTCGATCAAAGTGCCGGTTAGCTGGAATGGAAAGCTGAACCGTTAGCACTGTTGGGAACCCACCTAAATGTCGATCAACAGTTGTGATAGGTACCTAATCAAATTTTAATGTGTGATGTGATGTCTTATTTTGTTCCATATTTTTAGTATAAGTAGTTATAATTGTAATGTTTCTTAAATTGTGTAAATTTTAAGTACATACCTGTTACCTGTGTAAAATACCTACCGACTTATTATAAAAATAATGAAATTGTTTACTAGCCAGCTTCTTACGATATCCCGATGCATGTACTAATCTCTATGCTGGCCAGATCTTAATTTTCTCTAGTATTGGACGAAGTTCCTTTTTCGGGCGGCATGGCAATGGGGGCAAAGCAAAAAAATGTAACATGTTTCCGTCACAACACAACCTTACGCAGGCTAGCTAGTAGCTAGGCAGCTGGATGGGTCACTAGACAGGCAGCTAGGTGGACAATCACAGACAGGGCGGTGGTTGTGGACTTCATAGATCACAGAAAGAGGTAAGAAGGGTGACCATAAACCGTTTGTACGAGAACCGATGTCGCCGGCTCGCTCCCACTACACTTCCACCTAATAGATAATATTCATAGCCAATCAAACGACGCATCATCACACAATCGAACCAATCAGCGCTCAGTGCCATAAGCAACGACGGAATCAGAACCAAGATTTAGTCAAGTTATGAACATTTTTTTCATACTTAACTACGTTTGCCCCGCCCACATGGCCCTTCTTACCTCTTCTTGTGTTCTGTGGTGGACTTCATTCAAAGTTTCGTTTAATAGATTGACGGAATATGGGGTTCGAGTCATGAGCCACCACGCGGGCCTAGTACGGATTTGTGGGTAGTATATAAATATTTTAAACTTCGTTTTAACCGAGTGCTACACGACACTCACGTCTTCTAAGCTAACGCAACCGAAATACTAATATAGGTGAAGTGTGGTTTCATGAGACCATGACGTCATGCGATCTGTGCCATATTCCAGCATAATCTAACAAAAAAAGGCAGTGGGGCAACCCTATTTTAAGAAAACACGCCTCCGCAGTGTTGTAGTGAGAATATTTGCTCATGGATTTGAAGGATGACTTGTCAATGTGCGTTTACACGTTTGTGGAAGAAGCGTGAGCCGTTTTTGAGTCGCGCATGACATCCATGAGCAGGAGGCGTGCTCAAAACAGGCCTGCTCATTGGCTGAGTGCGCACACGTCAGCAATCTTACTGCAGACATCGAAGATTACGTTTATCACTACATCAAGTGGGTAGTCTTAATAAGATATCGAGTTTGTAAAATACCGTTTATAATCCATAGTCTTGGAGCACATTGGATTGCAATAGAATTTTACC